AGAGAGTTTCGAAAAACTCACTCGATGCCTGGATCTGCCCAGGATAAAGACCTCAGTGAAATGCTTCGAGTTGGGGACCGCATGGGACTACCGATGCCAAGTGATGGCCGAAGTTGATGAGATTTCTCAACCTACCAAATGGGAAAAATGTGGGATTTCATGATGATGTTATGGTGATTTTTAATGGTGATTTTTTATGGTATTCAAGCAGCAGATATGGGGATATGAATGGAACATCTTACCCTCTGGTAATTTAACATAGCTATTGAAAATGGCCAATTTATAGTGGATTTTCCAATTAAAAATGGTGATTTTCCATAGTTATGTAAACGTTTACCAGAGGGTAACCATTGATTCGCTGCCTGCGTTCACCACCAGTTCGTTCACCGGTGGTGTTCACGCAGGCGGTGCGGAGCTGTGGGTGTTCATATTATGGGAAGCCAGGGGATAGTACCTACAATGTGGGGCCCCCGGCCACGATAGCGTTCAGTTGGTGCACATAACTCCAATGTCACTATGGTTTATGGTACGCAAATAACGAACTAGTTATGGGGGGTTTATAACTCCAATAACTATAGTTTGCCAACCACATGATACTGTGGATGGGCCAGCGAAATCCCAATCACCAGGTGATAGGAGGTAAACATCCCATGAGTTTTTGTTTGGGTTGAAATACCATCCAAAATTGGTGGTGCAGGATTTCGCTGGCCCATCCACAGTAGTACTTATGGATTTTGTACATTTGTATTTGGGATAGGATTGGTAGCCATATATATATATATATAGGAAGGTGCAAATGGGATGGTGAATTTTTAGAGATTAATCATTAAAGTCATTAAAGACCATGAAACAGCCCAAAGTATCAAAAACCCATACGGCGATTGGTTGTATACCGATGAATAGAACATTTATAAGCACCCTAAAATTTAGGGATTTAGGTGTCCAAATGTTTATGTAATTTTATTGTGGGCATAATGGGTATGCAACCAGTCAGAAAACCACTGGTTGGTGGTTTCAAGGATGAAGATTCCCACTGGCGTTCCAAACTTTTTCTGGGGAAACCAGCAACCAGATCATATATCAGAATTGAGCAATAAATGGGGATTAATAATCAGTCTTATGTTGACTGGAGATCACAAATGATGGGGATTCACATGGCTTCATAGTATTTTTGGTTTCTAATGAGAGGTCTTTGTTGTTACTGGATCATATTACAGGGGGTCTGGATCATATTAGATGGTAACCATCAATAACAAATATTTGAGTTGCAGATTGATATCCATTCCCTGAAAGATTGTAACTCACTGGTTGTTGGTTGATTTGTTCCTCCTCCCCTTCCGATGTTTGGTGGATTTCTTCCTCTTGTATGTGGATATGATTCAAATCAGTGTCACAGAGAAGTCGGCCATGGTGTGGTCTACATTCAAGAGCTTGACCAGAAGTATCTCCCCGAAAATTCCGATAGTTCGATAGGTTCAGACCAATTTCCATATGGGCATGTCTGAAAATAGAGTATACCCTCCAAATGGGCATGTAATGAGGAAAATGAATGAACATGATGAGAAACCTTTGGAATTGAGGCTACGCAGCTACCCTATGTTGGGACCAATTTCCACGTCGCCGTGCCACTCCACTTGCTCAGGTGCCAATCATTCAAGCGGGCCGGGGCCCCTGGCAGTGGAAATCAAAAGATTCTAATAGTGAAGCAACATGCACCGCGTGGGTCTGTCTGAAAATTGGGTGTAGCTCCATGTAGCTCCAATTATAGCCATTTAATAGTAATAGTGATCATTAACCATTGGGTTTGTACACTATGTTCAGACGAACCCACATATGTGCCATTTTGGGGCTTATAATCGAAATGTCTTACTACTGCTTGTAGTTGCCACATTTTTGGCCCATCACTTTGGATAGACGTCCATTGGTTGATATGGAGCATATCAATTGTCAAGAGGAATCCTAGCTTTGGCAATAGAGTGCCATTTGAAAGTTTGACCTTTACCCTCTGGTAAATGAACTTGTTGACCCTGAAAATCACCAATTTTTAATGGTTTCACTAGTCTTCCAACCCCGACATATCTGCCAGGGTCGAGCTGTTACCAGAGGGTATATCATATATGATATTAAATACGTACTGCCTGTATGTGTATATACCCTCTGGTTATTTGTTACATAGCCATGGTATAGATGGCCCATAGAAATAGATGGTTTGAAACAAGTATAATGTGTGTGAACATGGCAAGTTTGATCATGTTAAGCTATCTATGGCAGGTTTGAAGGGTAAGGGACGCATCCATACGCATCCAACCTTACCTGATCTTACCCTCCAGTAAATTAACATAGACCCTGGTAGTTGTCGGGGTTGGAAGATTAGTTTCCTCTTAAACATTGGTGATTTTCAGGGTCTATGTTAATTTACCAGAGGGTACCTGATGTTGATTGTGATAGCGGCTATACCTTTGGATAGTCCCTGAGTCCCTGCTCAGCAGTGAATACCAGGATCATCACCACGGTTTGGGATCAGATTCTCCAAGCATTTGCTGAACTCCTTCATGGGGTGACCACGATCATCTAGCGGTTTGGATTGCATCACGCCATTTGGCGCCCTGGCATTGCCAGGATGAACAAGAGTCATGACTGATCCAAGAGTCAAACGCCAATATTTTTTCACATATCACCAGCAATCTCCACATTCAAAGCGATTTCAATCAATCACTTGGATGAATGTTGTTGGTGGTTTCAAACATGAATTTTATTTTCCATAATATATGGATATATGGTATGTCATCCTTCCCATTGACGAACTCCATCATTTTTCAGAGGGGTAGGTTGAAACCACCAACCAGGGATTGGTTGATATGTTTGTGGATATTGATAAATGATGGTTGATGATTATATTAGTGAATAACACCATATAGTAATCTATAGTAATCATTGATTCATTTTTGGTCATGGGAGACCCAAAAATATCTTGAGAAAAGCACAGCAGCCCTGACATGCCCTGACCACGGATGATGATGATTTGGGGTCCATGGAAAAAGAACCCACCGACCCAACATGTTAAAATCGAAAGGGCTCCACATGAAAACTGACTGTTTTTTTTCCATACATTGGTGTGAATTCCCCTCCCAAATTGGTGAACCTCATTTTTTTCAGAAATTTGGTGTTAGTTCCCCTCACAAGTTATCATAAACCGATTTGTGACCATTCTACAAATTGGTTTAAATTACCCTCTGGTAAACTAACATAACTATGGAAAATCGCAATGTTTAATGGGAAAATCCATTATAAATGGCCATTTTCAATAGCTTTTTGTATGTTTACCAGGCCGGGTACATTAAATTACCATAGAATGGTCACAAGTTGTCCCTCAAAGTTCTCAAGATCCAACTCTTCACTAAGGCGGACCAAGCCCCTCGCAGGCTGCACAGGCCACGAGTGGATGGAGATTTGAATTAGGACTAAACAACGAATTGAGTACAATAAAATAGTTGGAGAATTTATGGTAAAACATACAGTAATATAGTATAAAATAACGTCAACCAAGAATTATATAAGTAAACGATACTACGTCTTATAGTATGTTTCCCGCATAGTGTGCAATGTATATTGATTTTTAGAGTGTTTACATAGTATAGTATGTTGAACTATAACGAATGTAGTACCAGATCTTGGTTTATTTACAGTATGGTAACACATCATGGTTGTGCTAGTATAAGATATGTATAAGATAACATAAACGAACAAAAGGGATTCAACTATTCAACCTTGGGATCTATCAAAATTGCGTTATTTGGATTGAACATATTCAAACCAACTGTGAATGTGGAATTGAGTCGAGATTGGGGACCTGCGGCTAGGCAGTTTCGCAAGTTTCGCAGGAGCCGCAGGGAGACCCAGCGAAAAAAAGTCCCAGGCTGTGGCAAGAAATGGAGAATCGGGGCGATGATTTGCATCAAGAAACTCCGGTCCGCGACCCCTGGTGGTAAGTGGTCCGTCTTTTAAAAATCGGGGTATTCCAAGAAACCAAAGACCCCGGTTCCGGGATGAAACTTAGGACCAAGGATCCAGAGTAACAGGGACCCCAGGGACCCCAGGGACCCCAGGGGCCCAGTCCAGCCGGATACCTTTAAGCAAGCTCTCTGAATATCTCTGAATGATGATGTGATGATGTTATTATTCCAAATTGTCCTCAGTCCATTCGGATATTCGTCAACCATAAAACTCACCAGCGAACATTCAGGTTCCGAATTTTCTAGCAGTCAACCATGTTTTGAATCTCTGATTTCTTTCTCCCAAAGTTGTGCTGCTGAAGCCGCAGGCCAGAGCCGGACGATCCACAGATAGCTGGATCAGGTGAGAGAGCCTAGTTTTTTTGGTGGTGGTAACCATTTTTCGGGGGTTCATCATGTTTCATCATGTTTAAGCCATGCATTAAAAAAAGCGTGGTTCATTAGATTTTTTTAAATAAATTATGTGTTATACTACTGGGAATATTGGTGATTGTGTGTGATTTTGAACTGGCCCATAGTAGGGAAACCTATCAACCGTAATATAACATAATGAGATGGGAAATGGCGTATTTTGGATGGTTCAAGTGGTCTTTTTTCCATTGGAAAATCTACAGGAACCCGGCCAGAACTGGTAATCGGATGGTAAACCCAGGGTACCCTCTGGTAAACTAACATAGCCATAGCTATTGAAAACAGTGGATTTTAAAAATTGTGATTTTCCATAGTTATGTTAGTTTACCAGAGGGTAATTCCTGTAGATGTTCTCATTTTCTCATATGTTCCCACCCAGTGAATAAATTGATAGGTTTAAGGGAAAATCGAAGCCGGAAATTATGTTTTTTCAATGAAGTATGGAGGGTTTCTGTAAAATGCCCCAAGAAAACTACTATGTCCTTGTAATTGGATAGTAAACCCCGGTAATTCCAATAGATTTCTCCATATTTTCCTACATTTTTCCCAGTGAAAACCTATGAACTTCGACCCCAGGTGTTTCATTCCTGGGTCGCTTGCCCAGCAGAAACGGTCTGATCACCAACCCATCGGACGCCTGGCTGGACTTCGGGTGAGTTCAACAGTGGTACGCATAAAAAAATTGAGGAAATGGCCAGAAATATAGGGGTTTAAAGCCACAATAGTTCAGAAAAACTATGGGAAAATATGTGGTTTAATGGAAATTATGATAACTGCTACTGGGGATATGTCCAACATATTATCTACTAAGTTACTAGGTCAATCTTAGATGGATACTTTAATCCTGACTAGTCTTTTGGTATCAATGGGATTATCTACGTTCACCAGCAAAGAATTTAATTTTTTGCAGGGTATCTAAGATTGGCAATGGAAATGGCAGAAATGGGTATATCACAAGCAACAATGTGGATTTACCCTCTGGTAAACATTCACAGTTTGCTATTGAAGCCATGGCCACTGAAATAGTTGATTTACCCATTAATAGCATGGTGATTTTCCATAGTTTTCTGTATGTTTACCAGAGGGTAATGGACTTGAACGGCATATAATATATTATAATCTCATCATACCAGTGATTTGTTCCCAAGAAAGAACCATATGTGTGAGATTTATCAACAGGAATTTTTTGGACCAATTCTCAGTCATGAATGGGAATATTACCAAACATGTGGAGATGAACCTAAAACTGAATCGGTTGGTGGGTTGGTGGGTTCTACTCAAACGCTTTTTCAAACCCTACCTGTGATGATGGTTTTTGATCGACTTTTGACTAACATTTTGTGTGATGGGTTGGAGTTGCCAAACCTGTGAACCAACAAACATTCTGGTTATGTCAAAATGGCTATCGAAAATGGCCCATTTATAGACGATATACCTATAAGAACTGGTGGTGTTCAATAGCTATGTTAAACTACCAGAGGGTAGTCAAACATTAAACATGGAGTTTTCTTGCCATACGCAAAGTTATCCTGCGTCTTCTCAGGGTATCTAAGAGGATCCGTGATTCAGTGATACCTATGTCATCTTATGTTTCTAACGTGGTGGAAATAAACCTTGAGAAAGTGGCATTTGTCATTCGCTTCATTACCCCCAAACAACAGCTGGCTAAACCGACTGCAACCGACTGATAAATATAAATAGCAGGTTATACAAATATTTTAGTTGATTAAATTGTCACTGCAAATGCGTGCATACCAATGTTTGAATACTTCATATCCTGCTAAACAATATGCACAAGTAAAAAAACATTGTTTGCAGGGTATCCAGGGTTCATCATGATATATGGTGCTATGTGCGGAAAATGATGGTGGAACGAACCTGCCACATCCAGCCTGGGGTTTAGTTGAGTGACCATCAACATCAGGAGTCTGAAAAATTTAGAGAAACCTACCATTTAGGGATAATCTTCACCACCCTTTTATGGTTAAACCAAAATCAGCATGGTTTCTGGCATTGGGTTTACCATATTGGAAATCACCACACACATTCTGCAGCCACTTCTCCCTTCCTCACGTCGCGTTGCGCGCCGGCGCTCAGTACAACATTCTACCAGCCGCGATGTGACGACCTCAGCCGTAGCCAGAGATGTCCATCGTGGTCAATGGTCAATGGTTGAGATTAGATTACGCATATAATCTGGGTAAATTATAACGACCTCACTGCGACCTCACTGGAAATCATGGTTAGATTGCGGGGAATCATCCCCAAATGGCCGCAAGATTCAGGTTTGTGAAATAATATAATTTACATTAATTTACCCAGATATAATGTGGTAAATCAAATAATAAACAGAATAAACCATCCTATTCACCAACCATATAGGTCATTTTAGGAGTCATTTTACATACCTATGATCTTCGAATTCGGCATTGGATGACCATACCACTGCATGTGTTCACCTTTCACCATCGCATGCCTATCTTAACTGAATGAAAGTCTATCTATCTTATGTCTGTCTTATTCTAATTGAATGATAATAAAAGTAACTGTTCATATACATATATATATATATACCTTATTACCCTCTGGTAAACTAACGGTGGGAATCATGTTTAATCGGAAAATCATCGAACAGAATGGGCCATCTATACCGAATCTATACCATAACTATGTTGAGTAACTGGAGGCTTGGCTTCTCAGTTGATGTCTTAGTCGCCTCACGTTGTGACGCCTGTGATGCAGGTTGGACCACATCCGGCTGTACCGGCGCGTGCAGCTCAACTGGCAGGCGAAAACTGGGAGATGCCACATAATACCCCGGATCCCGTGGGAAATGGTCAGAGTTAGAGGAGTTATCATGGAATCTACCCTCTGGTAATTTAACATAGCTATTGAAAATGGCCATTTATAGCGGATTTACCCATTGAAAACGGTGATTTTCCATAGTTATGTTAGTTTACCAGAGGGTATACATCTGGGTAATTTTCATCACGACCTCACTGATCTCCCGAACCCTGGGAATCATGGTTTTTATATGGGGAATCATCCCCTTTTATGGCCGCAAGATTCAGGTTTGTGAATTATTATAATTTACCCAGATACATAGAATCTATACATAGAATCTGAATAGAATCTATACATAGAATCTATACATAGAATCTACCCTCTGGTTATTTAACAGTTTGCCATGGGAAATGGCCCATAGAAATAGATGGTTTACCTATTAATAGCATGGTGGATCTTCCCATCCTTCCGAGGATTTTTTCTGGTGCTGAAATCACTGAGGTTTTTATCAGAGGTGATGGCGTTTGTTTGACTGCTACAAGATGGGATAAAACAATGGATGTATACTGTGTTTAAAACATAAACCACCCATAAGTTGATGATTTATACTATAATACCTATAAAGATGGTGATGACTGGGGGATGGTGCAAATGGCATTGTTTGACCCACTCTCAATGGGGATATTGTGGGGACTTGACCGACCGCCCGTTGATGGAAATTCAATGAGAATAATATTGCTGTACAGGATGGGGCCCCCAAGATAGCTAAGTTGCCTTATTTTTGTGGCTGAAAAAAAATATGGTAGATATAACGAACTAGTTCATGGTGGTTATAACGGTGTATAAACCAACAAACATCACTGGGGGGCCCCATCCTGTAATCCATATGTTTCGATAAATTCTAACGACCAAACCCGTCGCGACGTCACTGGAATGATGAGAATTGGTTTGGTGTAGCTATGAAAAAAAACTGGTCCGACAATGAATTTTGGTTCAGGTTCTAGTGAATTACGAAAAGATTTATCCAGATATATGGAGGTGTCCTAAAATGGTGGTACCCAAAATCATCCAAGTCATGAATGACCATTTTGGCATCTAAACCCATGGTGACGACTGGGGATCCCCCATTTTATGAAACCTTCACAGCGGAGGAAAATCTCAGCCACACAGTGCCAGGCGTATGATGCATATGCGCGCGTGAGCCTCTTTTGCGGAGCCAATTCCTTGTCCGGACCTCGATCTGATGCTGCTGAAACATGCTCAAACATGCTCAAACGGGCCCAAAAAGCTCAAAAAATCCTGGGCTTCCAGAACTAAAACACAGAAAACTGCTGTTTATTATTAATTGGGGGCCATTTTTCTTCGACTCATCTCAGGGATTCCATCAGCTGTGCCCAGCGGAGCGGAGCTAGGGGCTCGGGGCTGGTCCTGTAAAGAGGACCGAACCCTGATCTCCCGAAGCCTGGAATCATGGTTAGATTGTGGGACATCATCCCCTTTTATGGCCGCAAGATTCAGATTAGTGTTTTTTTTTAATTTACCCAGTTGACTCATATTTCATTGAGATAAGTTTACATAAGTTTACTAGGTCAATCTTAGATGGATAGAAACTAATCCTAACTGTTGTCTTTTGGTATGGGAATATCTACGTTCACCAGCAAAGAATTTGGTCCATTTTTGGCGACGGGGCCCTCTGGCTGGCAATGTGAAAATGAGCGCCGCACCGAGGCTCTACAGCTGTTTGTATTGGGCACTTGGCTCGTTCCAGCCTCAGGGGTTTTTCAGCTTTCGAGCCCTTCCGAGCCATTTCCGAAAAAAAAAATGCTGGAAAATTCAGTTCAAGTAGGATGTGAGTCTGGTTATTCCATGACTAGTTACTATTTTTCCATGATTATTCCATTATCACAGTGAAGAATCGTGGAATAATTCTGACGAATAGAATAGTAAAAATCCTTCATTGTTTTCCATGACTGTTTCATTCATATGCCATTCATATGCCATTAGCCATTCATATTCCATTAACCACTAATAGTCCGATTCATATGCAATCAACCTCTATAATAGTCCCATTCATATGCCATTAACCATTATAATAGTCCCATTCACATTCTATCAACGATTTTCATAATCCATGATAGCCTGATAGCTATATTCATAGTCCATTAACCTCTATAAAAGAAAGTCTATAATGGTCCAGCAACCTCTATAATGGTCCATACCTGGTTGGTGGTTTGGAACATGTTTTAGTTTTCCATTCAGTTGGGAATTTCATTATCCCAACTGAGAAACTCACTCCATCATTTTTCAGAGGGGTAGGTGGCTTAACCACCAACTATTAACCTCAAGTTATATAGTCTATGATGGTCCAACTATAGTCAAAAGTTAACTATAGTGGTCCAGTAACTATAATGGTCCAGTAACCTCTACAATATAACAGTTGACAGTTCTCCTACATACATAGACTATACATATAGTTAATATACACTTAACCTCAAGTTATATAGTCTATGTATGTATGGAGTATAGTCTAGTAACCCATACATATTGACAGTTCTCCTGATGTCGATCCCAGGTTCCTCACAGGGCAGCATGCGGGTGTGGCGGCCGTGGCAGTCGCGCTGGTCTTCGCCACCATCCAGGCCGAGCAAACTGTGCATCCCAATGAATCACATATTTTTCTAAGCGAATACAAGCCATATATTAGGATACATAAATATGTATATATATATATAATTAATATGGATTAATACAACCCATATTATATTTATATATATATCATACATGTGTTACATGTGTTACATGTGGTTTTTAAATGGTTATAATCCATGATGTAAGCGATATTTCATCCCAATATATAAGCGGGTATATATATTGTGGAATCCATTAATCCAAGGATATCTAACATGGGAAGTCTTATCCTGATACCCTCTGGTAAACTAACATAGCTATTGAAAATGGCCATAGAAATAGTTGATGTTCCCATTAAAAATGGTGATTTTCCATAGTTATGTTAGTTTACCAGAGGGTAGAATGGATATATAACCAATCTTAACCACTGGTTGATGGTTTCACGTTTTTCTCAGCCATAGAAATACGTGACGATGGTCCCTATCTGGCTAGGGCTTGAAACCACAAACCAGTGGTGTTTAGCAGTTTAGATAGTTCCATGGTCCCCAATGGGGGCTTGTTTGATGACACCTGCGAGTATTTCCCATGAATATCTTCATCTTTGGTGGTTAAGTTCTCTAATCACCATTACATAATTTTAAATCACCATTACTCCCATTAAATCACCATTAAATCACCATTACATCACCATTACATCACCATTACATCACCATTAAATCACCATAAATCACCATTAAATCACCATTACATCACCATTAAGTCACCATTAAATCACCATAAATCACCATTAAATCACCATTACATCACCATTGAATCCCTGTTGAATCCTCGTTGATCCCCCATGGCTTTTCTCATCGCTTGAATTTCGACCGCGTTTTCTGGGTCGAACGTCGTTCCAGGTGATGTTGGCGAAGCTGGACCTGAGATTGAGGCCTTGATATCCTTGGGTCTTTGGTGATCCATATACATTTCGATAGCCAAGTTGGTGCAAATAACTCCAATAACTATGGTTTATGATACTTATGACTATAGTTAATGGGGTTTATAAACGATCAAACATCACTGGCAGGATGGGGCCCCCTTCAGATAGCGTTCAGTTGGTTTTTTTTGTGGCTGAAAAAACTATGGTTTATGGTAGATATAACGAACTAGTTCATGGGGATTATTTCATGGTTTATAAACCAACAAACATCACATCCTGTACCCTCTGGTTATTTAACATAGCCATGGAAAATGGTTGATTTTCCCATTAAAACCTCCATTTATGGTTGGGATTTTCCATGGCTATGTTAAATAATCAGATGGTATCTAGCTATTGAAGAGAAAAAATCATGCTTAAATGATTGCTCTCCACGGATCTACTGGGGAAATGTTGATTTTCCATGGGGATGTGATGGGAATATAATCATTATCTATAGAGAAAATGTAGGAAACTATGGAGAAATCTACAGGATGGGATTTGATTGGACAGCGTTCAGTTGAGATCTGGCTGTGGCTGAATGAACTATGGTCTATGGTAGAAATCCTTATCACCAAAAGGATGGTTGAAACCCTATAAATAATGGGATAAACCACCTATCAACTGGTGCAGGATTTCTTCCACCCACCGTAGTTCATGGGGTTTTTTAACCAACATCACTGGGGGGAACCATCCTGTAGGGAAAGTGATGATTTTCATGGTGATTTTTAACGGGAATCTCATCAGATTTGATGAGGGTTTAACTGTTTAACTTTTTAACCATGAAACTGTGGGATAATCTCGGGATAATATAGGAATATGATGGAATATAGTGGAAGATAACGGAACAAAATGGAATATGATGGATTATAATGGAATATAACGGGATTTATGGTATATCCCTCTGGTGTCATCAAGCGTGGCTAGCTGGAAAATCCCCGAAAAATGCAGATGTTAATGCAACATGTTTTCCCAAATGGTCGGATTTTTCGTTGCCACCTTTGACTACCAGAGGGTTTTTGGGGTAGATTTTCCATAGGATTCCCCCTCCCCAAAGTAAGGGATACCCTCTGGTTATTTAACATAACTATGGAAATCACCATTTTTAATAGGTAAATCCACTATAAATCACCATTTTCAATAGCTATGTTAGTCATAACCAGAGGGTAGTCATGGTGACTGGCCTCCCCCTGACTGGTGACTGGGGTTTCACCTTCAATGCCCGGAGAAATGACATGAACTTTGCTCTTTGGGGTAACTATACATAATATATTAATATATTTTATACATTATATATTATATTGTATTATATATTATATATTATATTATTATGTATTATCTTATACTACATTATATATTATATATTATATTGTATTATATATTATCTTATCCTACATTATATATTATATTGTATTATATATTATATATTATATTGTATTATATATTATCTTATACTACATTATATATTATATTGTATTATATATTATATATTATATTATTATGTATTATCTTATACTACATTATATATATATATTTATTATTATTATCATATATTACATGCTTGAAATCTTTATGTTCCAGGCTCGGATAGGCCAACCTTTTCCGGAGGGGTCAAGGTCAACAGGGCCACCAGAAAGGCCACCACCAAGCAGCAGATGTCAAGATTTTGGTCCAGAAATTGTCACCCTTAGCGGAAAAAACAAAATGGATTTCGGTTGATCCGCAAATACTAGGTCAATCTTAGAGGGACACCTTAACCCTAACTAGTCTTTGAGTATCAATGGGATTATCTACGTTCACCAGCAAGGAATTTGTCATTTTTTGCAGGGTATCTGGCTGATTGGCAATGAATAGGGCACGCCAACATCCTATGGTTTATCACCTTCCTAGAGGAGTTTGGCATGCCCGCCATAAACCCATGTAGGTTGGGATTCCAATAGCTTCCGCCAGGTGACCAGCCGCAATCTCTCGACTTTCTGTTGGTTGATGATCGTTGTTCCGCCCCATACAGGATGGGGCCCCCTTCAGATAGCGTTCAGTTGGTTTATAAGTGGCTGAAAAAAACTATGGTTAATGGTAGATATAACGAACTAATTCATGGGGATTATTTCATGGTTTATAAACCAACTTATAACTGGGGGGCCCCATCCTGTATGAATTCTTAGGAAAGCAGAATTTTAAGAATGTTGCTCCTAAAATCACCCGGAATCTTTCAGAATATCATCCATGAAATTCCATGAAATTCCTGAAATGCCGAGAGAGTCAATGATAGCAGTGTTTGAAAAGATAACCCTTCGGCGATCTGACCCTCCAAGGGGTAATTTTCTGGCTTTCCTCTTTGGATGATATCTCTGAACACACCAACTATATTATCCAGGCTATACATATTATTCTGTGTAGCAATTCGTTGGTTGCAAGACAATGTGATACATCCCACTTGTACCACAGTATGTTGGGTGTATATCTCATATGAGGTATGTACTACGTGTAGGTTTGTTTATACATCCAATGTATTTGTTGATTTATCAATTTAGTTCATTTTATACAATTCTGTAGATTAACATGCATATGAACATATTGATACAATATCAATTTATAGATTTATCCAATTTATACATATGAACATATCCCCAAGATATTGAGGACTGCCCAGCGATAAATATCTCCCTGATCAGGTCGTGGCACCTGCGTCGCATCGCTTGTTTGCTGGGCTGCACACCTGTGACCACGACTCTGGGTGCGCCCCTGGGGAAGATTTCATAAAGCCAGATATAGGTTCAAAAACATCCAATATAACTTGGTTTATGGGGAGTAAAACTACTCTCTGGTAATTTAACGTAGCTATTGAAAATCACCATTTTCAATGGGAAAATCCACTATAAATGGCCATTTTCAATAGCTATGTTAGTCATAACCAGAGGGTATGTGATTTTTAACGGATGTCATGAAAAGTCCCTTAAGAAATAACCAGGGCAGCACCTTGCATGGCGTCTTGGGTGGATTTGCAGAGACTGGACTCGATGGCTTTGGGATGAGACTAATCCTTGAGAATTGTGGGTACCCCATGGACGCCGTATGTTTTGGAATGCAAAATACGATCTTTTGTTGTGGCAGCTTGGGGTACACACAAACTCGGTACCTACAATTTGCTCACCGCTGGGCCCAGTGGGGGGTCAAAACCGGGGTCCTTGAATGGAAAAACATGGAAAAACATTAGGACACCATGCAGCGGGCCCAAGATGATCGTTCTAGTTGCAGTTGACTGGTCCATCAATAGGAGGAAACTCATCAGTGATTTTTCGAATGAGCTGAAATGGATAAGATTGGATCAAGAGAACCCTAAGTCACATCATACTGTGGATGGTTGCGAAATCCTGCACCACCAAAAGTATGGTTGAAGCCCAAACAAATAATGGGATGTTTACCATCTATCAACTGGTGCTTGGGATTTCGCAACCATCCATCAACTGGTGATTGGGATTTCGCAACCATCCAAAGTATATTGCATAGCTAAATGATTTCTTCTATTTGGACTGAAATGGATCCACACGTATTACCAAACCGGAAAAAAAACTGCGACGCCTGCGACTTGGATGGTGAACTATGCCGCTTGAGAAATGTCTTTGTTATTTATCCTCCGACAATGGTATTACCCTTGGATTCCATGAAGAAACCATGGGTATATATATATATATACATCTATATATATATTTAGAGAGAGATATATATATATATAGATATAGCTATACCTAGATATAGATATTATTCTCCCATACTTTCATTACTATCCAATCATTCTTATTCCCCATCTAACTGAAGTTAAAACTGTCAAATCAGAGTTGAGGCTGAAAAATCGCTCGGTGAAGGGATGGGTTTATGGGGAATAACTGGGTGTAGTTTCTATAGGTGTTTTTTTCCCAACATCACCGGGGACTACGCTGATATGTTATATGTTTGGTATATGTTTGGTATCCCCAGTTGAGTCAATGGCCATGCAACAGGATCCGATTGATTGGAGGTACTTACCATATATAAGGCCTATTTTTCAGGCCTATGTAAGGGAATATCCCCACAATTCATATGGCTTTATATGGTACAGTACCTCCATTTTAGGATCCTGGAATTCCCATTGAGGAAACAAATGTTGGGTTAAAATCTGTATACCCCGATTTTTTGGGGATTTCAGTGACCCCAGAGAGTTGGTTTGGTTATGTGTTCGATAGTTGGCACCCATGGTCTTTTTCCATATAAAATCACCCATTTTTTTTGCCATACTATCCATGTACAGTACCCTCTGGTAAACTAACAGTTTGCTATTGAACATGACCATTTATAGTGGATTTACCCATTAAAAATGGTGATTTTCCATAGTTATGTTAGTTTACCAGAGGGTAGAAAAGGTCGACGCGCCCAAAAAAATATACTTCATGATCTGGGTTTAGCTGGACTGTGCATCATTGGGGATCGCAATGACCAGTATGACCCAGTACAGGGCATGTATGAATCGGCCAAGCGCGACCAGCTCATGTGTATTCTTGCCAGTGGCTCATATCTTGCCTTAAATCATAGAATTGGATGATGGGAAAATTTACAGGAAAGCCCTATATTTGATGGTAAAAACCCATGGGTTTCCTGTAAATGTTCCCTTAAACCAATCCAGTGATTAAAAGAACTTCCCCAGAAGATGAGTTTTGCAGGTCGAAGTTGGTTCTTATATTACGTGCCTTCAACGGCAACGCGCGCCGCCAGCTTCAAGGTTCCCCCAGTGCCCGGTATCAAAAGCTGAAAGCTTTTGGCCGGCTTGTTTCAAAAGATCATTCGCCCAAGCAGCCACCAACTATCAAACACATGCATCTGGTTCCAAAAATTGGGCTCAGTTAAAGAACAAAAAAAACATGTTAAACCATAGATAAGTTTAAACCATAGATATCCATATGTTTCCATGTAGATATGATAAACTCATCATAACCAAAGGAGACCCATCCCTTTGTGCATTCCAGGCGCGGCGGAATTCCCGGCGAGAGATGGGGGAGTCTGTCAATGGGTACAGGATGGGGACCCTGTTGGTTGCCGCGTTCAGAAACGCCTTATTTTTGTGGCTGAAAAAACTATGGTTTATGGTAGATATAACGAACTAGTACATGGGGATTATTTCATGGTTTATAAACCAACTTATATCTGGCAGATGCCCTGAAATTTCGGGTTTCCCGATATACATAAAGTTACCCCCGGATTTTCCCCATTTTTTGGGCATTGTCCATGAAATAAACCATCCATAAAATGCGGGATTGCCCTTAAATATAATGATTATAATGATGGGTATAATAATCCATTAAATCCATTAAAATCCATGGATGATGATTATAATCATTGGAGTTAGGGTAGCCATGGCTAGCCCATACCGTTCAGCCATAAATCATCATCATTCCGTCCAGTCCCTTGGAGCGGGTGGCCATGGCATCTAAATGTCGTTTTGAAGGGAGAGCCAATGAGCTACAAATGGAGCTGGTTGGTGGTTTGGAACATTTTTTATTATTCCATATATTGGGAATTTCATCATCCCAACTGACTTTCACCTTTTTCAGAGGGGTGGCTCAAGCACCAACCAGGGAGTTTCCCAATTACCTTGATCAAAATGATAAGAGAATGGGATCAACAAACAAACTGGCACTCGACGATTCGTGAGGATATGGTACGTATCTGGATGAATGTGAGACAAAACATGGCCAGGCCCCAGAAATGATGAGCGTAAAAGAGAAATCATCCATAATTGCCATAATCATCCATTTGATAGCCCGAAATCTGATGTGTGTTGTATATGATTGATCACAAAATTTCCCGATTTTCTGATCAGAACATTCTTGAAGGAACTTCATAACTGCCAGTCTAAAAGACATCATGTGCTCACGTTGATCAGAAAATACTAGCTGCTCGCTGATAGGAGCAACTTTATCCCGCAAAGATATGAGGCTGTTTATTACAGCTGTATGGTTTGATCTATCCATTTAAGTCTTCATAAAAACACTATTCGCGAGTGGTTTTGAGCAGGGCCCAGATCATCAATCCGCCATGCGATCAAGCAACACATTATCTATGTTGCCCACCCTTACAGTGCATCGATCGTGCTTCGCTGTTGCCGACGACTCGACGTTGATGAAAAACGCACGCTAAACGCGAGGGGCGAGCCGGGCGCGAGCCGGGCGCTTCCAAGGTGGCCAGCGGTTGCAGGCTAAATCCACAGACTGCAAGCTAGGTTGCAGGCACACCAGAGGGAACACCAGGTTGTAAAATATCAACCAAGATCAAGAATTGAAGCCGAAGCAGGTGAACGTGGATGTTTTGGAACAAGGGACCTGGGTTTCCAGATGCGAACTGCGAAAGCTGTGACACGCCTCCCCCTGGTGCCAGCATGCCAAAATCAGAAGCCCGTTGATTTGCTTTATCCCCTTGGCCATAGTGACGTAAACTTTTTAAGATTGGACATGATCGGGGGCCCCTTTCCCATCACACATGCCGCGCGTTTGAACAATTATCGTCGCGCTGCCGTCGGGACATGTTAAAAACAGTACTTTGATTGCTTCATGTTTCCCTCGAGAATGTTTCGCGTGCTTGCAACCATGCGTTTGTCCGGCGGTGATATTCTATAATGTTTGCTGGGAACATGCGGGTCCGCGCCCAGCCACATGCTGTGAAAGGACGTGAAAGGACACCGCTCCATGCCTATTTAGGATGTGGTTTTCTCCCTTACGGAATGACACTGGAAGATAGGTTTGCGACACCGAGTGTCAGTGAACTATGAAAAATTGGTTCTATATCCAAAAACAAAAGGACATGCACTCAGTGTCTTTTTCACCAGCTCCATCCCCGACTCCTTGCGTTTGACCGGCGGTCGAGTAGGTATTATCGTTGTCTACCGCTAGCGACTTAATTAGATGTTTAGGCGAAGTATTGTACTGTTTCCTAAAGGAATTTACCACCACGGATGAGAACCCATACCATCAACCACGGCATTGCAGTTGTGTTTGCAGGTTTGACAAGCGTTCACTTTCCTGCTCCTGTCTGGCAAATCATTGTTTTCTCGGACTTCAAGGAGAATCGGGTTTCAATAATTGTATATGATTTTGTTTGTCTACGCGTGCGTTTTTGTGTGTGTGCGTGTAGAACAGTGTGTGTTGGTGCGTCAATATGGTATTTGAATTCTGAGAAATCCCAGTTGTACTGCTTGGTTCATTTTGGTGTCCAAAACTTGTAAAAAAATAATCGCCAGCTACCCCATATGTTAATCAAATTTGGCAACTGAAAATCTCACATGTAGTGATGGTTTCCCCATTCACCTTCCATCGTTGTGGGATTTCCCAGCTAGCTATGTTTGATGACGTCGTTGCCGGTCCTTGAGCCATGGGTCGCTGCAGGGCCATGGGCCGAGTTGCTTTGTTGTTCGAAGATGTCAAGAATCTCCTGGCACCGGGCCAGCTTGGAAAACTTCCAGCATCCAGTAGGGATGCCCAGAGGAAATCCGTCCCTGGCAGATCAGATTCTCAACTTATCACATCACAAGCGCAAATTTACCCAGTGATGTTTCTGCCAGTTGGTATAATTAGAAATAACCTACTTTCCGAAGATGTCAACATAGCTACATCAATGTAGCGAAAACTTGCTGGCCAAACGCATGGTCTGTCCAACGATTTGTTCTTCTGGGATAGTCTGGTCTTTAGCCTAGGTGATTGGGAACTCCATGGATAAATGTATGGAGATTTCAAACACTGTGCCTGCAAAGTGATCTCAAACAATTGTATGGGAGTATTTTCTGAAAAAGAAGAACATCAATGAAAATAAGATGCTTCTCAATCATATCGCTAACAGTGATTTCATGTAATTTTCTGGTTGGTGCTTTGGAACATGTTTTATTTTTCCATTCGGTTGAGAATAATCATCCCAAATGACGAACTCACATTTTTCAGAGGGGTGGCTCAACCACTAACCAGAATAGCTAATTAACCATCATTAACCATCATCATAACCATTAATATGAACCATTATTAACAGTATATTACCAACCAATGGTAGGTTGAAACCACCAACCAACCACCAATGAAGATCTCCTGCCATGATGTATCCGTCACAGCGGGACGGTTGCTCCAAAAGCTCGCTCTGCCAAGGCGAGCCATTACTGGATTGCGAGGATGCAAGCCCAGGTTTGGAGATCCCAGATTGGTGTCATGATTTGAAAATAATATGATATTTTATTGTATGTGTATATATATATATATACACATATGTGTACACATAGACTATGATACATATATATATGTGTATGTACAATTTATACATATTATACTTTATATATATTTATATATATACGCATTTTTGTGTATATAGATGTTGCTATATGTGTATGCTATTGTTTTTTGTAAATAAATAATAATCATACATATATATATATGCATATACGTAAATATATAATTATTCATATATACCTACATGCAAACATGTGTATGAATATATATACATATACATATATAGACTAGGTCAATCTTAGATGGATACTTTAATCCTTTAGTCGTTTGGTATCAATGGGAATATCTACGCTCACCAGCAAAGATTTTTTTGCAGGGTATCCAAGATTGGCAATGTATGTATTATGCGTACGCATATAAATGTATTAGTATGTAGATATTTATATATATGTGTGTTTTTATGTATAGTCAAATATGCCTACTTATATACATATACATACGCATATATGTGTATTTGTGTATGCATATGAATGTTTTCATATTTTTTGTATTTTTAGATGTATGTATGTATTTAAATATATATATATATACATATATTTGTTTTTTTATTATTTTGTTCATTTACTTTTTGTATGTATGAAACTTTGTCTATGTACTGCATATATATATACATACCTGCATTTTTATACACTTCTATATGTATATGTGTGTTGTGTATATATTTATGTAAATGATTTCGTTTATTGCATTAATTGTATGGTTTTTAGAAGAGAATATATATATATTTATTTAATTTCTGGGCATAATTCTTTACCAGTTACAGACTGCAACGTGCGTCGGAGAACAACGTCGGCCCCGCCTCGCGGTTCATTGCCAGACCCTTAAATGCCTTGATGGCTCGTAAATTTGGAGATGGTGGATCTTACAGTTGTTCCACTAACATTTTCTAAATGGAGGTTTTATCGAGAAAATAATCCATTTATAAATGGTGGATTTTCCAGCAAGCCTATTAGAAATGGTGATTTAATGGGATTTAATGGTGATTCAATGGGATATATGATGGTATACCCTCTGGTAAACATTCACAGTTTGCTATTGAAAATGGCCATAGAAATAGTTGATTTACCCATTAATAGCAAGGTGATTTTCCATAGTTTTCACTATGTTTACCAGAGGGTAGATGACCTGTCTGGGAGTGTCTTAGCCTAAGTTTGGTCGGCCATGCGGTGGGCCCGTGTTTTTCCAAGGCTTGGATGACCTAAATTTTACCAACCCCAACTCGCCAGAAATGCAATTTATATTGGTGAAATTTTCAAAACATTACAATCTGATACATTGATACATACATACATACATACATACATACATATATATATATATGTACATATATACACAGATATATATATATATATGAGATATGTTTTTGTAGATATGAGTTATCCAGAATGAATTCCAAGTTTTAGGGATGTCCAATTCCATGTTCCCATCGCAGCTTGGGAATCTCCGTCCAGAACCAGGCGCAACCACTACAGCAGCCAGGCGGTCGGAGGATGAAGGATGGTGATGGTTCATCATAGCAGTGATGATTCGTTCGGGGATTTTTTTCTGCCCAAGATACCCTCTGCTGGTAAACATACAGAAAACTATGGAAAATCACAATTTTCAATGGGAAAATCAACTATTTCTCTGGCCATTTTCAATAGCAAACTGTGAATGTTTACCAGAGGGTATTGGGGATTATAGTAATCCAATAGGCGAATCCCTGTAAACCAACCAGTATTAATGGAATGATAGAGGGATTTTGAACACTCTTCAGCAAGTAGGTTATAACCCTGGTTGTAAATGAACTAAGTAGTGTTAGTCCACTTAAAGCAGGCGTTATAACCCACGTATTGGGTGGGGTGAACCATCACGTACCGTAGTGTATTAAACATATAGTAATTGTACATTGAAGATACCCTCTGGTAAACAAACATAGCTATTGAAAATGGCCATTTATAGTTGATTTACCCATTGATGGCATGGTGATTTTCCATAGCAAAATGTTAGTTTGCCAGAGGGTAGTTGTTGCTGGTTGTTTTTTCACACATTGCAAATGGTTCATGCCTTCTCTAAAAAGATTCAGAATATGAGCGATATTCGCAACATTGTCCTGGGTTCCAGCCGCAAATTGACCGGGCTAAGAGGAGTCACAGCGAATTTGTTTATTAAGTTTCAAGAAGGTTTCCCCAAATTTGGAAAATATCCATATATATATATATATATATATGGTGATCCTACTATTGATGGTAGTCTCAAAGAATAGCCATATATTGGCGTGCTATTCTTTCATTTGACGTTTTCAATGAGAGTAGGCTCCTATATCACTATTTTATTCCTGTCATATTGATACTACTATTCTTCTTCATACTTGGAGAGGTATATCCCAACTTACGGGGGTTATTACCATGGGTTCCCCAAAGTAGTGGTTGTGGCAACCACGGGAGCCTTCCATTCACAACTCTCCTGTGCCTGCACAGTTTCTCGGACGATGGGCATGAGCTGACCGTACAGGAGGCGATGGCTTTGCGGTGCGAGAGGGGTTATGGTGGGTTTGAACTACCCTCTGGTAAACTAACATTTTGCTATGGAAAATCACAATTTTTAATGGGAAAACTCACTATATATGGCCATTTTCAATAGCTATGTTTGTTTACCAGAGGGTATCCATCATAATTAGAAGGTGACTCGTGGCTTAATAGGTTATCCGTGGATGGACCTTAATGTATTACCAATAGACCAACAAGAACCAGGAGATCATCAACAACTACGGAAGTGTCAGTGTCACCAACAAAAATGTGGGATGGGAGTATACTGAGTATACTATGAACAAAGACCATAGCGCAATAAGAATCAAAAATCAAAATGCGAGGTATACCCACAGTTGATAATTGTTTCCCATATCTTATCACATTTTGCATGATGACTGTCGTAAGCCCAACAAGAACCCACCCCCAATCTCATACAGGATGGGGCCCAATGGTGTTGGCAATAGTGTTGCTGGTTGGTGGTTTGGAACATGAATTTTATGACTTTCCATTCAGTTGGAAATAATCATCCCAACTGACGAACTCCATCATTTTTCAGAGGGGTAGGGCTCAACCACCAACCAGGTTGGGTTTTCTTCACCAAAACAGCTCAGCAAATCATCCAATGGAATCTGATAGTCCCCAATACATTGGGTAGTACAATCCCTGAACTAATCCTGAACCAACCATTTGATGTTAGTTGTTATCCAAAGTATTAGTTAATACCTTAACACAGTCTCACTAACCATCAAACTATGGGATACATTGGATATCCATTTGTCAGTTAGTTCACAAAAATATCCCCATAGTTCGATGGTTTTCCAACTCCTCTTGAATACCCTCCAGTAAACTAGCATACCCATGGAAAATGTATTTTATATATTTATATATAGATGATTTACCGATTTACCTATGGAAAATGGATCATGTATATAGACTATAAAGACTATATAGATATTTTACCTATATGATTTTAATGGCGATGTCCAGTTCGCAAAACGTTATATAGTTTAGCGGAGGGTAAGTCCATAAAAGTCACCTGAAGGTCAGCGCGGTTTCGCCAGGCAGTCTTCAACTTGACCAACACCGCTGGGGCGTCCCAGACGGGACACCCCAGCGTAAAGAACGAAGACAGAACGTAGCTTCAAATTGATGAGTTTAGCGTGCGTTTTTTCATGGAGAAAGAATGGGGATACAACTAAGAAACGGTCTGGGTCGCTTGCCCAGCAGAAACGGTCTGATCTCCAACCCATCGGACGCCTGGCTGGACTTCGGGTGAGTTCAACAGACGTGGTACGCGTAGAAAAATTGAGGAAATGGCAGAAATGCTAGGTCAATACCTTTAATCCTAGCTAGTCTTTTGGTATCAATGGGAATATCTACTAACCAGCAAAGAATTGTCATTTTTTGCAGGGTATCTAAGATTGGCAATGCAACTAAGAATATGATTTTTTGTAATTTTTATATACCAGTAGTACCGCACAAGGCGGTGGCGGAAGTTTCAAAAATAGAAACCTATAGGAGAGATTGGTTGTTGTGAATCAGGGATGGCAGAGCGAATCCACTGATGGACCGAAAGGTGCTTGAGGTCTCCTCTCTTTCTCTCTCTTTCTCTGACTATCTACCTACCTACCAACCTATCTTCCATGTATCTATCTATCTATTGATCTATCTATCTATCTCTCTCTCTCTCCCCCTTTCATCTAATTACCTATCTATCTATCTTTCTTTCTATCTATCTCTCTCTCTCTCTTTCATCTGTCTATCTGTCTAGCTGTCTACCTGTCTATCTATCTATCTATCTATCTATTTATCTATCTATCTCTCTATCTATCTATCTATCTATCTATCTATCTACCTAGCTATGTATCTATCTATCTATCTATCTATCTATCTATCTCTTTGTCTGTCTGTCTGTCTGCCTGTCTGTCTACCTGTCTATCTGTGGTGCAGTGTCATTCAGCGTAATGTAGTGTAGTGTATTGTAGTTTAGTGTAGTGGAGTGTAGTGGAATGTAGTGTAGTGTAGTGTAATGTATAGTAATGTAGTGCAATTTAGTGTAGTGGAGTGTAGTGGAGTGTAGTTGTGTAGTCGTAGTTGTAGTCGTAGTGTAGTGGAGTGGAGTGTAGTGTAATGTAGTGAAGTGTAGTGGAAGGTAGCGTAGTGTAGTGTAGTGGAGTGTAGCGTAGTGTAGTGTAGTGTAGTGGAGTGTAGCGTAGTGTAGTGTAATGTAGTGTAGTGTAGTGTAGTGTAATTTAGTGTAGTGGGGTGTAGTGGAGTGTAGTGTAATGTAATGTAGTAGTGGAGTGGAGTGTAGTGTAATGTAGTGTAGTGAACTGTAGTGGACTGTAGTGGAGTGTAGTTGTGTAGTTGTAGTTGTAGTGTTGTGGAGTGTAGTGTAGTGTTATTGAGTGTAATTGAGTGCAGTGTAGTGTAGTGGAGTGTAGTGTATTGGAATGTAGTGAAGGTGTAGTTGTAGTTGTAGTGTAGCGTATTGGAGTGTAGTGTGGTGTAGTGGTGGTTGTAGTTAAAATTGCTACAAAACCCTCAGGTTTTGCTCACTTGTGACAAGGTGCACAATCCCTTGCGCCTACCATGCAAAACGACATCTGAACGTCCAAAAGTGCTCCGTACCTCCAGTTTTTTGCACTTTTGACTTCGAAATGTGCTTCGTGCCACAACATCGTGCACTTTTTCGACATCTCAACGTCCAAAAGTGGCGCGAACATGTGGTGTTTTGTACATTTTGACTTCGAAATGTGCTTCGCGCCACAACGGCGTGCACTTTTTCAACATCTCAATTTCCAAAAGTGGTCCGACAATGGTGTGTTTTGTACATTTTGACTTCGACATGTGCTTCGCGCCACAACGGCGTGCACTTTTTCCACATCTCAACTTCCAAAAGTGGTCCGAGGCTGAGGTGCTTTGTACATTTTGACTTGGAAATGTGCTTCGCGCCACAACGGCGTGCAATTTTTCATCTCTCATCTGGCCAGCTGGCTCCGCACCCGCCGCTTTAGCAAGCCTACTTTTCGACCCTCCGGAGCCACAAATCATTGGAAAAACACAGTATTTCGCGACTTTCCTACCCTTCGCGCATCTGCATCTTCTTTCTGCTGACTCTTTCTCTTCTCTGATCTTCTCTCTTCTACTCTTCTCTTCTCTCTGCCTCTGCCCTGCTCTGCTTTTCATCTGTCCACATTGTCGGAAGTTTGACTTCTAAACTTCCTTCGATAATTAGGCGTAGAACCAATAACTATGAATATTGGGTAGTTCATGAACCCAATCTAGCTGTAGATGCGTCCACCATAAATCCAATTAGTGTTCTAGTTATTTTCTACCACCTTAGCTAGGGGGTGGGGGCGTTCCTGAATCAGAAAGATAAAATGAATCACAGTAGATCATAGGGTAATGATGCGGAAATGCATCAGTACCTATGGCATCCTATGGGACTTTTTGTTGCTGTGATGAACGTTCACCAGCTCTTTTGATGTTCACCTGGGATTACCAGCCTTTTGACCCATAGCCTCTGGAAAAACTAACGGTTTGCTATTGAAAATGACCCAGTCGAAATTGTTGATTTTCCCATTCAAAGCGGTGATTTTCCATAGTAAAATAAACGTTTACCAGGCCGGGTAGCTGTTATTATGACCAGGGCCTGAACTGAGGTTTTGGGTGTTGGCGTGCTCACTGTCCCGTGGGATGCCCCGGAAAAATCGGCTCCTGGAACGCTCCGAGATTGAACATAGAACCCAAAAATAAGTCTTTCGTAACACATGGGTCATTAAATGTCCCCATTGAACATCACCCAACCATTAGGTATATGGTCTATAATGGCTACTATAAGGTGATGTCCAATATACCCAAAATGGGACAGTTACCAACCCCAGTAACAGGAGCATCATCTTACCAAATTTGTTTTCGACATTTTTTGACAGGTTTTAGAGTTTTAAAGTTGTTTTTGAACGGGGATTCCTTGCGTATGGTGCCACTTCTTTCGGATTCTAGTGGCCATTTACTTACCGGACCGACCACAGAACAGCTGGGTGTGTCCAACTCAACTGCCGTGTTACACGGTGTGAAAAATATCAACGCGTTTTCTTGCACTAAAAACTTGCAGTTTCCATAAATTTGGGTGGCTTTGGTGGGGTATGATCCATTGGGTGGCAATACAACCATTTTGTGCAGGAAATTCCTGATGTCTTCGTAACTATCCGTTGGGATGAGTGAAAAAGTGCTTGGATCAGCCTTACACTTTCCGTCAGGGGGTGTCCTAAAATGGAGGTACCTCAAAACCGTGGGTGTCAATACTAAAATGGTCTAATGACTTCCATGATCTAGGGGTACCCCCATTTTAAGAAAGTCCCATGATGTTCACATGTCAGATTGCATGATGATGGATCCCTATTCTTATTGGTGACATATATTTCCTGATTGATTTGTGTACCGTTCCTGTCAATATCTTCGGTCCAATATCTCTAGGGATGTGTATCTATTCAGCTGGGACTGCAGGTATGCTTTCAGACTCAGTGGATACATCTCCATCTTGCCGCGCTGACGATACGTTGTGCAGCGGGTCGATTGGTCGATTGGTTTGGTTCAAAATCTTCAAAAAAGATATTAGTTTGGACCCGCCAAGCTGGTCATGTGCCATCAGCTGGGGGTCAATGATTTTGAGCAGCCAATTTGACAATGGTGGCAACTAATGGAGTGGCAGTTGTTGTTTGCTGGACGTGTTCAAGACGTTTCTGCTGCTTTTCTCAGGCGCCAAGAGTTCTGTGCGGCTCCCACACGAAAAACATCAAAACTAAGGATGAAAGATTGAATATCAGCATAAAAACACCCATATAAAAACCATATAAAACCATACCGTAATACCACTCCCCAGCATCCCCCACCATTTTTCCCCCAAGAAACCGTGGCACTTGTTTCACCTTGGCCAAGTTGAATTTGTGGATTGCCAGGCTGATCTTCATCACCATTCTAGTGACGTCCCAGACTGGCGTCTATATCGGCTCCGCTGGGGCCCCCAGCGACAGGAGGATTCCAATCAGATGATATTCATTAGGTGAATGATAATGTTAGATATCATGAATTATGATTATATAATGATAATGTTAGATATAATGATTCCAATCAGATGATATTCATTTAATGAATTATGATTTCCATAATGCGAACTATAATCACTATAGACTATAAGCACAATCACCATAATATGAATGACCCATATGCACACCAACATTTGCCCGAAAAAAAAAATATCCAAATTTCAAATGTAGGTAAATATACCAGCACCATGGAGCATCTGGGTATGGGGGTTTCATGAGTCATGGTGGTACCTCCCAATCATCCATTTTGGATTGGGATGTTTGAAAGAAACCATCGAATCTAGCTATTGGGGTAGCCCCATGACTATGGAAACCCCCATATAGTGATCACTTGTTTTTAACCGGGATGGTGGATTTCAACCTGAGGGGCTACCTTTGCTTCCCTGAAAATGCCGGAGCAGTGCTCGAAGAAAATGTGTTTCATAGATGGTTTTTCCTCTCAATTTCTGTCCTTGTTATCTTGCTCTGTTTTCGAAATTTGGACCCAAGTCATCCCAGCCCTCCATATCCTACAATGTGGGGCCCCCGTTGGATAGCTAAGTTGGTGCAAATAACTCCAATTTCACTATGGTTTATGGTACGCAAATAACGAACTAGTTATGGGGGTTTATTCCAACCAACGTTCACATCACTTGGGGGGCCCTCCATATCCCAAGCAAAGCATTTTCCATGTGCTCCGAAAGTGAAACCACTTTCGCCATTTTCCCTGCCATCTGGCGAAGACCATAGATTTCGACCATTTCACCGGAGGCCTTGAAATTGGCGGCGAGGAGCGACTTCGCTGGTGATTTTTGCACATCGGAGGGGTAGGAAACGGTAGAAACCTCGAACGAAACTCATCCGTGTTTACTTTAAACGGACAGATTAACCATAGAGATGAGCATGTTTTTGTGGACCAAAGATTGACAATGGTGAAATAATTGCCATTTCATGGTGATTGTTCGATTTCAATTGGATACGAGCAAACCACGGTAAATGAAATCATGGGATAGTCTTTTTAGGATAGCTACGAGGTGAGGCTCACGTGTTTTTTGTTTTTTTTGGTAGTCCAACATTGGATGAAAAAAACAGACGTTGGATGGTAGAGTTTGTTATTTATGAAAGAATTCTTGATCAAAAAAAGACATTAATTTGTTTGTTGGTGTGATAGATAGGCCGATGGTGTTTTTCTTCGATGTTTATTCTGTGAAATGGTGAAATATGAAGATTTTATCTGTGATTGTTTTGCGAGCAAATCAGCGTTTTTTTCCAGAGATCAAATCGTCAATAAATTTCTATTCGAACAAATGTCATAGATTATTTACCATCTGGTTATGGCTAACATAGCCATGGAAAATCACCATGTTTAATAGGTAAACCCAGGAAAACCATCTATAAATGAACCATTTCCCATGGCTATGTTAGTCATAACCAGAGGGTATCCACCATTGAAGGTCTCACAGATCAAATATGATGGAATCTTCAATACCCTCCGGTGTTATCAAACATGGCCAGCTGGTTCCAGTTTCCCATCAGGAGATCGATGAAAAATTCCCAGCGAACAATTCCCTCCGTTTCGTCCGGTGATTTCCCATTGAGAGGCATGAAAGGTAAATGGCACTTTGAAAATCAGAACATGGACGATCAGCCATCAAATTCTATGTTTCAGCAGCTAAATGGAGGCTTCCTAAGATAGGACCTCAATAGCTGGATGATTTATTTCCATGGGAAAATCCATCTATCAATGGATGATGACTGGGGGTAGCCCTATTTTTCCAGCACCCAAATATGGGGGTTCTCCTAAAATCTCGGTACCCCCAGTCATCATCCATTGATAGATGGATTTTCCATCAAATAAACCATCCATTTTGTCAATGGGAATTTCAGGATCCAACAGATGGAGGTACGTAAACGTACCATATTTCCGGCCATATGAATTATGGGGATGTTAAAACATAGGCCTAAAACATAGGCCAAAAATATATGGAATCGGTACCTCCGTCCTCAATCGGATCCTGAAAATCCCATTGATTTTGGATACCCTCTGGTAAACATACAGAAAGCTATGGAAAATCACCATGTTCAATGGGAAAATCCACTATAAATCACCATTTTCAATAGCTATGTTAGTCATAACCAGAGGGTACCCCATTGATGGTGTCACCACCGACAGGAGTCCTGAAGCACAGTTGGTGCCACGGCGCGGGCGCGATTTCGCCTTCTTGGCCTTCCAGGGTTTCGGAGGTCGCGTTGTCGCTGTGGAGGGAGAAACCCAAATAAATCGTGAGTTCATCTGGGTAAATTATAACGACCTCACTACGACCTCACTGGAAATCATGGTTAGTAAGGGGAATCATCCCCAAATGGCCTTAATTCAGATTAGTGAATTATTATAATTTGCCCAGATTTCATGGAATTTCACCAACAAATGTGGATATGATTAATGGAAAACTGCTTGGTGGTGACTGGAACCATGGAATTTTGAATGACTTTCCAGAAACAGTTGGGAATTTCATGATCCCAACTGACGAACTCATATTTTTCAGAGGGGTAGGTATACCACCAACCAGAAATGGAATGTAATGGAATAGACTGGGATTTATGGTATATCCCTCTGATGTCATCGTTCGCGTGGCTAGCGCTGATGCCGGAAACTCCACGGACTAAATCGAGGTTTCGTACGAAACGTGAAAGTCATCGAAGCACATGGTGCATTTCCGACGCCACGTCCGACATACCGGAGGGCACTAGGTTAATCTTAGATGGATACTTTAATCCTTTAGTCTTTTGGTATGGGAATATCTACTAACTAGCAAAGAATTTAATTTTTTGCAGGGTATCCAAGATTGGCAATGGGTATGTCAGATGGCCATCCAATCTTTTCACAGCATTTCCTTCCTAGTTGGGTGAGGAATTTGTGCTCGAAGTACTTAAAAAAAACCTTTGTGAGCAAGGTTTTTTGTCCACCTTCATATCCTGTGTATTCTTTTCTGAGGACTTACATGATTCTCTGTTGAGGAGTTCCATGAGACGCAGAACCAACCGGTGGAGATGATAGAGGGGGATCCGATCCCCCTATGAAACAGGCCCCAACTATCTGGAAACCCTCCACTAAACCTCACTAAACCATGATTTCTGGTGTTTAATATGGTTTACTGCTTGGTGTTTTGGAACATGAATTATAATGAATTATATATTTTTCCAGAAACAGTTGGGAAGAATTTTATCCCATCTGACGAAGTCATATTGTTCAGAGGGGTAAGTCAACCACCAACCATTTTTTTGGGGGGGGATGTCAGGGATTCGATCACCCCTTTTTGGTTCGCAGGTACAGGCGAAAAGCTGATCGGCCTGATCACTTCCTTAGAGATCTGGCACCTTGGATGAAAGGTGGTTCTGCTTCGCTGGGAGGGTTTTTTTTGTCTCGGTACAGTCCTAATTTTTTAATGGATCTGGATCTTAATGGCTGGTTGGTGGTGACTGGAACCATGGAATTTTGAATGACTTTCCAGAAACAGTTGGGGATAATAATCCCAACTGGCGAACTCCATCATTTTTCAGAGGGGTAGGGCTCAACCACCAACCAGTAATGGTAAAATACCCCCAGATTTATGGCCAAAATAGGGGGAACATGAATGGGAAAATGAAGGATAAACCTAGCGTTAGGGGCCTACTTTTCAAGCCCCAGCTCTAGGTACTAGGATGAATCGTCAGTACCCTCTGGCAATTTAACATAGCTATTGAAAATTGCCATTTATAGTGAGTTTTCCCATTCAAAATTGTGATTTTCCATAGTTATGTTAGTTTACCAGAGGGTACTCATCATGACCTAATGGTCTGGGAGTATCCACTGGCAGCTCTGTCGATCCAGGGACGGAGGGACGGAAAAACCGATCTTCGGATGGCAGTTCTTCGGAACTTCGGATGGAAAAAACGAAGCCGCTTTTGGGATGACGGAGCCCTTGGCGAAGTGTCTGCTTTTTTTGGGCCATCGGGCCATTGGGCCATCGACCGGAATGGATTTTTGGGTCGTCCCTTTGTAGTTGTTTCCTTGGCTTAGGACCTAGGACCCGAACCCCAAATTTCTGGAGCTATGGGAATATTCCCAGGATCCCAGCACATGCTACTGGACTTGCTGACTCTGGTGACAAGCTGTCCTCATAGTGTTTCTGTGCCGTGATACAAAGGGAGGCCTACACTGGGAGCACCGGAGGAAAAAAGGAAGAGATGTCGAAACGTCATCAAAGAATCATAGCTAACCCTAGTTGTTTTCAGCTCAAAGCCCTGTATTCTCTTTCAGGGGTGTAGTACCCTAGTTGTAGATGCATAGTATACAATACAATATGTACAATTTCAATATACAACATACAATATACAATACAAATAGATGGTTAATGGTTAGTCATCTAAATGGCTCATCTTTTTTCTCTTCGCGCCGAAAAATTCTCTCCAGTGGCGGCACGGCACACAAGGTTTGCACTGGTGGTCTATATCGTGATGAACGGGATCAATATCTCGGCTGTCTCTCGGAGCTGAAAAGCCAAAAAGCTCCGGCTGAGAGGGTGGGAAATTCATGACACTGTGAGGGTTTCCATAGTCATGGGTAATCCCCAAGCTCGCGGTTCATGGTTTATTTCCATGGGAAAATCCCGATCTATATCCATATCCATCAAAATTCATCAAGGTTTCCATAGTCATGGTGTTACCCCAATAGCTCGCTGGATGGTTTATTTCCATGGGAAAATCCCGATCTATATCCATATCCATCTATATCCATCAAGGTTTCCATAGTCATGGTGTTACCCCAAGCTCGCGGTTTATGGTTTATTTCCATGGGAAAATCCCAATCTAAAATGGATGACTGGGGGTAGCCCTATTTTTCCGGCACCCAAATATGGGGGTGTCCTAAAATCTCGGTACCCCCAGTCATCATCCATTGATAGATGGATTTTCCCTTACAATGTGGGGCCCCCAGTTACAAGTTGGTTTATAAACCCCCATAACTATAGTTAAGTACCATAAACCATAGTTATTGGAGTTATTTGCACCAACTTAGCTATCTTGGGGCCCCACATTGTATAAACCATCCATTTTGGGTACCCCATTTATAGGAAGCCGACTGTTGGGAATGCAGCCGACAACAGCCGAGAATGCCGTGGGTTTTTTTTTTCGCCGCGGGGTGAATCACTCCGGAAGCAGCTAAAACAGGGAGCCACCAGCCATGACTGGATCAGGGACTGGCCGAAATCCCATCTTTTTTATGGTGATGACTGGGGGATGGTTTGTGGCATTTTGTTTAATCAACATTTTACATGATACTCATGATACCAATGCCAATCTCCTATTGTTTATATATATATATATATATTTGAAATCCTAATTATTATTGGGGGATGGTTTATGGCATTGTGTTACCTACATAAACAGCCCATTTTACATGATACCAACCTCCTATTGTTTACTCTCTGGTTATTCAACGTAGCCATGGTATAGATGGCCCATAGAAATAGATGATTGGAACCCAGCTAGAAACCTCCATTTATGGTTGGGATTTTCCATGGCTATGTTAGTCATAACCAGATGGTAAACAGTGATGTTGTAAAGTAACCTTTTTATATTTTTTCCATATATTGGGAACAATAATCCCATTTGACTTTCATATTTTTCAGAGGGGTGGCTCAACCACCAACCAGTCCTATTGTTTATATATATATATATGTATATAGCCCAGTTTAATCCATTTTACATGATACTAATGATACCAATATCCTATTGTTTATATATATGGATGATTGGATTTGGATTTTGGATGATTGAACAAGATTGAATGATTGGATGATTGGATGATTTTGGATATCAACCTCCTCTTGTTCATATATATATATATCAACAAGCCATGGATTTTGGATGATTGAAATCCTTCCATTGTGAAGGTTTCAGGAGGCCATGTTGGACAAGAAACTGCTGCCATTCTGAGCTGTGCACTGGCGGCGACCTGGTTGGATTTTGCCGGCGTTGCAGGGCGTTTTTTAAAAGGGTGAAAGGGAGGAACATGTTTTTTTTCTTAACGAAAGTATGATAGAATATGGATGTCAATGGATGTCAACCAATCAAAATGGGGATTCTTTTTGGAAAAAAGAATGGATGGACTTGACCAAGAAAAGCTGGGGCTTCCAACCTGCAAAGAACCAAAAGAGAGTCTTTTGTTTTGCTGTCATAGAAATGGATGCAAAGAACCTACCTATCAGACCTATTATCTAGGTTAATCTTAGATGGATACTTTAGTCCTTTAGTCTTTTGGTATTAATGGGAATATCTACGTTCACCAGCAAAGAATTTGTCATTTTTTGCAGGGTATCTAAGATTGGCAATGATCAGACATTATATAATCGAGAATGCAGATGGCCTGAAGCATTTACCGCCACAAACTTTCCAAGCTTCTTGCGACAGGACACTTTAGCAGCGGTGAAAAATCATGTACAGTATCTCTTTGGGCTGCATGCCTGGTTACCTGTCCAAACTGATTAGTCACATTTAACTGATTAGTCACATTTATTGCTGAAGAAATGCATCTTGGCAAATCTAGTTGTAGTCCCAGCCTTGGTGGAAAATCGGTGCAGCCTCAGGCGCTGATGGTCTTTCTACCCATGCGGGTCTACTCCTACTTTTCATTGGCATCTGGGTGAAGATTTTCGCGAAGGGACACGATGTCAGCATTGGGGCACCCAAGATATCTTCAAAGCTTGGCTGAATCCCTGGGTCGCATGAAGCTCTGCTAACATCATAGGATTTTTTGCAGCTGTGTTTGATGACCGGGGACTCCTCCCATGTCAGAAGTGACCACCATCAACTGTTGATCCGGTTGGTGGTTTCAAACATCTGGGTAAATTGTAACGACCTCACTGAGACCTCACTGGATTCATGGTTAATAAGGGAAATCATCCCCAAATGGCCTTAATTCAGGTTAGTGAAATATTATAATTTACCTAGAATCATGTTTTTGTCCATTTCATATATGGGATGTCATCCTTCCCATTGACTCACTCATATTTTTCAGAGGGGTAGGGCTCAACGACCAACCAGGGATTGGTTGATATGTTTGTGGGTATAACTGATAAATGATGGTTAATGATTATATTATATATATTATATTAGTTATGATATCCCCATATAGTAGTCTATAGTAATCATTGGTTGATGATTACTAGCCAATATATTGAGGATTATAACAATCCTTTGTTAACCATTATATCACCATTATATCTCCATACTTATATTAACCATATATATATATTAACCATAATATTACCATCTACCCTCTGGTAAATAAACATAGACCCTGAAAATCACCCATTTTTAATGGAAACTAGTCTTCCAACCCTTATCTGCCAGGGTCTATGTTAATTTACCAGAGGGTAATATAGCCACCATTGTTGGTACTGTGGTCAAATCAGAGGGATCTCGTTCCGTTCGATCCTCCGTTAGATCGTGCCGTTCGAAATCTCCATGCTGTCGCTGTTGAAAATTGGATTCCAACGGTACCTGAAATTCTTGGTCAAATCCTTCAAGGTTTGGGTGTCCTCAAATCTTTCCCAGCTTTACTGTAAATCAATCGGTCCATATGATATCATATAAATCCATAGAAAATGTCCTTATAAATCCCGATGAAATCCATATCAATCACTAAAAATCCATCAGATCTACCCTCTGGTAAACGTTTACATAACTATGGAAAGATCCACCATGCTATTAATGGGAAAACTCACTATTTCTATGGCCATTTTCAATAGCTACTTTGACATAACCAGAGGGTATCATTGCCAATCTTAGCCACATTGGTGGCTAAAATAGCTGGTATAGCTGGATGATTTCTTCCCACTTTACATTGCCCGGCATCATAAAAATCATAAGATTCACCTAGTAGAAACCTATATCATCCATAAACCCTAACGCTAGGTTTATCCTTCATTTTCCCATTCATTCTATCAGATCGATATTCAGATCCTCAGTTTTTCCAGGTCCTTTTTTTCGGTGACCCGTTGAGGTGGCCTCCATCGCCCTAGCCCTCGCTGGTTTGGCCGTGGTCGCAGCTGTTTGGGTGCCCAGCTCCGCCCAGCTCCCTGGGATCCCTGGGATTTCAATGGAAGTTGCGCTAGATCTATACAATGTGGGGCCCCCAAGAAAGCTAAGTTGGTTGACAACTCCAATAACTATGGCTTATGGTACGCAAATAACTATAGTTATGGGGGTTTATAAACCAACAAACATCACTGGGGGGCCCCACATTGTAGCTGGTTGGTGGTTTATAAATGTGGAACCATGGAACCATGGCATTATATGACTTGGTTAATCAATGTTAATCATAAATATATGGTTAACATATGGAAATACATTGTTAATAATGATCAATAGTAATGATTACTATAGTTATATATGGTTAATAATGATGATTAATGTGGTTGGTGGTGACTGGAAATGTGGATGAATTAACTATGGTTTATGGTAGATATAACGAACTAGTATTCATGGGGATTAGTTCATGGTTTATAAACATAACTAAACTACTGGTTGGTGGTGACTGGAACATTTTGGAACCATGGATTTTTATGACTTTCCAGAAACAGTTGGGAAGATTTTGATCCCAACTGACGTTCACTCCATCATTTTTCAGAGGGGTAGGTATACCACCAACCAGATCAGATTGAATAGTAATGGATAAAAGTATGATCTAATTCATTGATCTATATACAGCTGGACTATATTTACAATGGATGTGTATCTAACGGATGGGATTTGATTGTATAATCATTGGACATGTCAGATGGATCTGTTATTTTGTAACTTTGTATCTATAGTCAGATGTTAAAAAGTGACTTAAAATATCTAGAATTAGACTAATTGTGTGAAATAGATGTGAAACTAAGATAATATGGACATATCTAACAGATTATCTGGTTAGATGGGAAATCCCCGAACTAAATGGAGCTTGATAGAAAATCATCTATATGGGATGGTAAAATCCCCTATTGAATGAGCTATGTCAGCTATGTAAAAATATGATCGTTGATGAGTTATTATAGGGGATTATATTACCAGGTTTAATGGGGATTATGATAACTGCTACTGGGGATATGTCCAACAGATTATCTACTAGGTCAATCGACTGGATGGATACAAACTAATCCTAACTACACTTTTGGTATGGGAATATCTACGCTCACCAGCAAAGAATTTGTCATTTTTTGCAGGGTATCTGGCTGATTGGCAATGTCTATAGTTAGATGGGCTTGTAATCTTTTCACTGCAAAAAAAAACTATGGTTTCTATATAATGGTTTCTATGTATATATATTATTATATTGTAGTTAGATGGGCTTGTAAACGTTCATCTATATCCATAGAAATCGCCGGGGATTTCCCGGCCACATTTGATGACGTGCCGTGGTGTTTCGATTTCAGTGGTGAAGCCATCGATGATGTGAGCCCTAGATGCCGTTGAAAATGTGCCAGGATGCTATAGATGGTGTACTTCATGTGGGTATGGGTCAATACCTATGAAAATACCATTTTTAGGGGGATGAACATCCATAAATCCCAGCTATTTTGATGTGAACTACAGGGGTACTATTGGTTTTGACCCATAGCCATGTTTCCAGGTGTCCCACTTTTCTATCTTTTGGTGGATTACTATAAATCATGTACACAAGTAGAAAAACTTGTGGAATGATTTATAGACCATATCATTACTATAGAAGGACCAATGATTTAGTCAGACTAATGATTTATTACACAGTGAAAATTATGTACTATAGAATGGGTAATGTTTTTCAACGACCAATCTGAAAACTGCTTTTGGTTGTGGTTTCCAAGAGGTTAGCTTCCACCCAGATCCCATATCCCGAGCACCGACTGCCATGCCCCAATATCCAAAGATTCTTGAAAGATGTTAACTCACTGGCTCTAACCAGGACGTGATTTTTATAGATCTAAGAGTTGGGGAATATCTGATATCTGAACATCTTTGAAAAATTTTGGATTGGATTTTTGTTTGAAACTAATGAATTGGATTGACCTGTGTTTCACAGCGCAAGAGACATTTTGGAGTCAATTTGTTTTAGGCCCAGGGGACCACGGATTGACTGATCATTTCTAGTAGTTTTTGTTCCATACGTATTAGTATTGTGTTTCAGTATCCAATTTTGAGCTGTACCCATTTTTGGGGGTTCCTAAGTCATGGGAGATCCCCAAGTCACCATGGGTTTCAATACTAAAATTGTCTCATGACTTGGATGATTTGGGGGTACCCTCATTTCAGGAAACCTCCAAATATTGACAAGGTCTAAAAATGGGATGCGAAATGTGAAGTCACTCGTGAATTAGAGAGATAAAGATTTAAGAATTGGACATGTTTCGAACAACTGAATTGGGGTGTGGATCATTTGGAGGTTTCCTGAAATGGTGGTACCCCCAGTCATCATCCATTTTTCTTTCGGATTTTCCATGAAACAAACCAACCAGCGAGCTTGGGGATTCTGCATCCCCATTTATGGAAAGCCCATTTCATCAATGGCCATTTCAGGAACCGATTGATTGGAGGTACCTACCATATATAAGGCCTATATTTCAGGCCTATGCAAGGGAATATCCCCACAATTCATATGGCCAAACATATGGTACTAACGTACCTCCATCTGTTGGATCCTGGAGATCTCCCAGTGATTTCACATCGAGTTTCAACAATCGAGGCTCTGACGATGGAAGAGTGGGCCAGGGCCCTTATCGGGCCCTCATTTCCAGAGATGCTACGGCCTGATGAAGGAGATGAAATTCCACATCTTGGGGGGCCATAAAACTAGGTCAATCGACTAGATGGATACCCATTGAAATAGTGGATGTTCCCATCAAAAGTGGTGATGTTCCATAGTTTTTCGTATGTTGATGGGTTATTCTAGGGGATTATATTACCTGGTTTTTCATGGGGATTATGATACCTGCTACTGGGGATATGTCCAACAGATTATCTACTAGGTCAATCGACTGGATGGATACAAACTAATCCTAACTAGTCTTTTGGTATGGGAATATCTACGTTCACCAGCAAAGAACTTGTCATTTTTTGCGTATCTAAGATTGGCAATGAAAATGCAGGTGTTTTTTTCTGAAAGGGGAATGGGAGGTTTCAGAAGAACTACGGCTTCAAATTCGAGAACCATCTTGTGGATTGAAATGCCTGCGATAGCTAGCGATTGACACCAGCAGAAACCACATTGCGGAGACTTTTTTCTTGGAGTCTAGTAGAGTCTAGAGTCTAGATTTCCGAGCTCAGAAATCTTGAAGTTCGTGTTTATAGAACTGTCTGATGTTGGCATGGATGGCGTCTTTCAGCTGGGGCGACAGATGGGTTTGTCTGATATGGTCTACCTCTCTTTCCAGCGTAATAGCTTGAGTAGCCTTATCCTTCTTATTTCAATAGCCGAATCCATTTGGTGGCTAAATTCCATGAGAATTCCCTTCATAGCCCTTAAAAATAGGCCTTATATATGGTAGGTACCTCCAATCAATCGGTTCCTGAGATGGCCGGTGATAAATCCCTTATTTTCAGAACCCAGATAGCCTTTCCACTGATAGGCAGCTCTGAAAAAACCGAGGCCAACCCGTACAACCACCTGGGCGAACCCGCCCTGGTTCAGCTGCAGCTGGGGCTCCTGTCGTGTATCGAGAGCTTAGTGCAGGGTGGAGCCGAGCATGGGGTTTATTAATTGGGGGGTGAGTCCAATAATCATAGGCTTTATGGTGGTAGATATATCCATAGTTTATGGGGTTTCTAAACCAACTTAGCTAAGTATTTATCGAGAAATTACCATCTGGTTATGACTAACAGTTTGCCATGGAAAGATCCACCATGCTATTAATAGGTAAACCATCTATTTCGATTAGGGCCATCTATACCATGGCTATGTAACAAATAGCCAGAGGGTATATACACATACAGGCAGTACGTGTTTAATATCATATATATTCATATGATATAGTATATGCATCCATTTCATTCTCCAAAAAATGGCTGCCAGGCTTTCAAAAAAGACAGAAGGGCCTAGCACCCCCCATGACCTCGCACCGTGCAAGCTCCAAGGAACATCCCGCGCTCCATTGGCATCATTGTCTTTTGCTTCGCAGGCATGGAGCACCAGCGTTGAGACGATGATGTAGCCGAAATGGAAAAGCTTGGCCAAAATCTGGTCACCATGAAAACTTTTAGGCCCTACTAGTAAAGATGATGGTTATCATATGTTATCATGGAAATTGCCCTTGCAAATGTGTTCCAGCTTGAATTTGAGCAGTATGTGTGTGTGTGTGTTTGTCTCTTGATTTCCTGTGCGAGATCTCACTGCCGATGACCAGCTCCACAGGACATCCATGTTTTCCCATCGTGTACGAGTGCATGAAGGAGTCGCGACGACGGCAGTTTCCAGGGATGCAACTTGGTTTCCAGATGAAGGGACAGGTGTCCGTTTGAGATCCTCGAAACTTGACATGCCAAGATCCTTGAGATGATTCACAGCCACATACCTTGCCCAGGAGCCACAGTACTGGATGAGCTCCGTCTGTGCCGACCCCAGGTCTGGGAAAATGCTGGGCCATGAAATGCGCAGCTGGCTGACCAGCCTTGCGATGCCTGGAGTGGCAGCCTGGGGCTTCAAGTAGGATCACAAACAGCATCGCTTGCGGGAACTAAGATCTGACCTTCTGTTTGGCCTTCATGTACTACGGAGGTGGGGCCGTGGTTCACCATGGGTTTTTCTCCCGGGTCGACGCGCGCTGTTGTTTTGTTGATGGGCAAATGTTACCAGAATACTGGGATTCTGAAGATGCACTAAGCATGAATATCCATTAATGAGGATTTAATGAGAATTTAACAGCTAGAAACTGATGGTTTCTGATTTCTGTGATGAAAAATAACGGTGAGCCGTTTGGGACCACGCTACCGGCTAGTGACTAGTGACCCCTGTCATCGGTTGTCTCCGGCTTACAGCTTTTTTCGGTTGTTTTTTTCCGGGTGAATGTTTTCAAAGGAACACCATTCTGGGTCCAGAGTTCTGAAGTCTGGCATTCGGATTTTCTGGATTTTTAGTGCTATGAAACCTGACCAGTTGCTGTGTTGCTGGAGCTTTGTTCATCGTGACTTCAGGCCTTGGTGTCTTCGGCTATTTGGTCTTTGGTCAGGACCTGCAGGACCTCTTCGGTGGCGATCTACCGTTGGTTGATGAGTGGGAGAATTTGATTCTATTGGTTGATATGCTTGCCCATAGGATCCATGTATGGTATATATGCTAATATTGGGGGTATATTGATGGTACATGTTACCATATATATCATACATGGATCCTATGGCTTGTGGATATAACTGATAAACTTGCTGGTGGTGACTGGAACCATGGAATTTTTTTGAAACCCCAATAGTTGGGATGATGATCCAATCTGACGAACTCATATTTTTCAGGGCGGTTGAAACCACCAATTAGTAAATGATGGTTGGTTGATGTTATATTAGTTATATTATCCCCATATAGTAATCTATAGTAATCATTGGTTGATGATTACTACAAAATATATTGAGGATTATAACTACAATCCAGGGTAGTCCCGTTCTTAATCAACCAGTAGAATGGAATGGACAGGTGGATTTTGAACACTGCAGATGTTGGAATTTTGGGGTATTGAAATTTCGAGACAATTTGGAGAGAGACACCTGAATGGTGTTGTTTTGGGAACATGCATTTAAAATAAATGTGGTGCTGTTTGTTGAGGCTTCAAATGACATAGAATCATTGGAATCTGTAGTTTCATGCAGTTTCACTTAGTTGTGCCCACTTCCCCCATCTCAGGCATCAGTGACGCAGAATGTGGAGTTGTTGCCTCAGGCTCGAAGCTGGGAGCTTCCGAAACGTGTGATCAGCCATGCTCCATTGGTCATCATGATGATGGTGGTGGTGGTGGACCAAGAAATTCAAGAATACGATTTTAAACAATTCCATTATTTAAATATAATATATATGAATATACCTACAAAAAATATTATATTTATATTAGATGTGTATTCCCTCTTGTGAATCCGAGTCACATCCCTGCGATTGTCGCCTCAGTGGTGCTTCGTAGCTGCTTCGTAGCTGGATCATGTCAGTGTGGTAATCCGTGACGTTAGCACCCCATTAGCACCATGTAATCAGTGTGTGTGTGTGTGTGCCATGGTCAAGATGCATCCCCGCATTTCTACGGCTGCGCACGCTGTGACGCTGTGTTTGGGGTCCCTTTTTTGATGGTCGGATGACCAGAAGATATATAAACCAATTTTGGACTCGACGGCACATGTTTTTGTCCCATGATAAATTCCGAGTCAGCTATTCAATACGGTGTTGGGAATGATCCAAATTAACCAATATTTATGGATTTGGCAAAATGTTGGTATTGTAAACTAGATCAATCTTACATGGGTACTTTAATCCTTTAGTCTTTTGGTATCAATGGGAATATCTACTAACCAGCAATGTAAATGATTGATCAAATTCCCAATTTTCGGGCTGGCAGCACTGGGCAATTTACCACAATTGACCAATATTTATATTGCTAGCCAGAAATGGTGGGCTTCTCTGAAAATAACTCCTACATCCTATGGTTAATCATCATTACATCATCATTTTTCCCATCAAATTATTATTCTGGGGACACATTGTTTAATGGGAAAGATTGATTAACCGGAAAAATTCGCCAAATTTATCAAATTCACCAAATTCAAGACACCAATCCATCTAAATCCTATGGTTAATCAATGTTTCTCCATTGCCAATCTTAGATACCCTGCAAAAAATGACAAATTCTTTGCTGGTTAGTAGATATTCCCATTGATACCAAAAGACTAAAGGATTAAAGTACCCATCTAAGATTGACCTAGTCTCATTAAATTATCATTTTTGGGACACATGATCCCTCAGGCCTGGCTCTTTCGGCAGATCGCCTTCTTATGTTTCGCAGCGCGGACACCTGGTGACCTTTTGATGTCCCCAATACTGCGATTTAACCGAAGTTATAGTAATATGGTGGTTCCATACAATTATAAGTGTCCCCAATACTGTGAAAACATAGTAATGAGTAATATGGGGGTTCCATAAATGGGGGATCCCCAATAGCTGGTTGGTTTTATAATGGAAGATCCTACTAAAATTGATGGTTTAGGGGTATCCCCATTTCAGGAAACATCGACATATACATTTATACATAGTAATCCACAAAAAAATACCCTCTGGTTATGACTAACAGTTTGCCATGGAAAATCACCATGCTATTAATAGGTAAACCATCTGTTTCTATGGGCCATCTATACCATGGCTATGTAACAAATAACCAAAGGGTATATAGAAATCTTGTTTCAGGATTCCGGATTGCTCATGTTTTCTCCATCACTTCCAGACATCCAGGCCTTTTCTATCTGTTTAGGTGTCCCTACAAGTTTGCTTGGTTATGATAGTGGCGGTGAAGAAACATCGGAGCCGAAGCTCATAGAATTTCTGGTTGGTGGTTTGGAACCATGGAATTTTATTGAAACCCCAAGAGTTGAGATGATGATCCAATCTGACTTTCACTCATATTTTTCAGGGGGGTAGGTATACCACCAACCAGATTTGGACTATGCCTATGCTGTGTTCCATGATCATCATCATCATCATCATCATCATCATCATCATCTTTTCTTACTGGTGCGTTAAACACGTAGGGTTGCTGGATGGGTTGCTGGGGGTTGCTGGGATTATTGATAGTTAGCCAGTGGATCATTCCCGAAAATTCCCTACGTTTAGCTAAGCACCAGTAAGTTGAGATCCATCTGAATTGACCACAAGGGTACCAACAATCAACAGTTGATGGGGAGCCTGGTGGGCCATCAACAGTTTATTCATAGTTTCTAGGTCAATCGACTGGATGGGTACCCTCTGGTTATGTCAAAATAGCTATTGAAAATGGCCATTGAAATAGTTGATTTACCCATTGAAAATGTTGATTTTCCATAGTTATGTTAGTTTACCAGAGGATATTTTAATCCTGGCTAGTCTTTTGGTATTAATGGAAATATCTACGTTCACCAGCAAGGAATTTATTTTTTTGCAGGCTATCTAGGTGTGGCTATGAATACATCCAATAATTATGGATGATATAGGTTTATACTAGGTGAATCTTATGATTTTTATGATAGGGCAATGTAAAGTGGGAAGAAATCATCCAGCTATACCAGCTATTTTAGCCACCAATGTGGCTAAGATTGGCAATGATACCCTCTGGTAATTTGTTACATAGCTATTGAAAATGGCCCAGTCGAAATAGTTGATTTTCCCATTAATAGCATGGTGATTTTCCATAGCAAAATGTTAGTTTACCAGAGGGTAGTGATGGAGAGGATCTGTATACTTGTTCCATTTTTATGGGGAAATCCACTATAAATGGTCATTTTCAATAGCTATGTTGACATAACCAGAGGGTAGTTTTCCAAGCGTCCAGCTCTTCTTTTTTGGCGAAGCTTACCATGGCTGTTTTTTGTGACCGTGTTCCTCTTAGGTGAAGATCCAGTTCACCGCGCCGCCAGGGCTTCCCAGAGATGACCAAGTGGGATGAAAACCACTGGGGTGTGGAAAGTAATATGATATAGTATAGTATAATAGTATACCCTCTGGTTATTTAACATAGCCATAGAAAATGGCCCATTTATAGATGGCTTACCTATTAAAAATAGTGATTTTCCATGGCTATGTTAAATAACCAGATGGTAACATAGTACAGTATAATAGTAAAATACAGTAGAGGACCTGTGTACAGCATGGGGCCCCCTTCAGAGAGCGTGAACCGTTGGTTTATAAGTGGCTGAAAAAACTATGGTTTATGGTAGATATAACTATAGTTCATGGGGATTATCATGGTTTATAAACCAACAAACATCACTGGGGGGCCCCATCCTGTATAGTATAAGGATGTATAAGAAAAAGAATAAAAACTGGAACATCGAAAAACTTGTGACCATGTGGGATTGAACCTTCAGAAATTGGCATGACACTGCCATTTTCATTGGGCCCGAGGACATGAAGAACTCCGAGTGAAGTTGTGGTCCATGTCAAAAATCTAAGGATAACATTCGGAAAAACAAAGAACAGATAATCTACCATTGATTGGCACGCGTCAGGACCCAACTTCAGCCATCCTGGCTGAAGTTGGGTCTTGATCGGGCCTTGGAACAGCTGTATGTTGTCCTATGAGATTAGTCCCATTATCCCAGGTATCAACCGGCGATGCTTAAAACAACTCATGAACATACTTAAAAATTGGCAAAACTGCTTGTAATCATCAGAGAATGTGTACTTCTTATTGGTAATGATAAATAATAGCAAGGGTAAGGTATTGTAGTTTCCATTTATCTCCAATATGAAGATAAGAGAATTGATGATTGTATGTTAAGTGATAGTGGTCTAGCCACGAATGACTCAAAAAAAACATATCATATCTTAATTGACTTTAATAACCAATCATCCAGCGTCAATTGATAGTGATAGTGTATCTCCAATATTACAGATCAGTAAACATGAAAAATATACTTATAGATATTAATTAGAGGCCTTCACTAGATATTTTAATTAATCATTAAATCTTACTTTGATATTATATGATTAGATATCAAGTAGATATTAATCAGTAAATATTAATTAGCTGTTAACTAGTAGATATGAATTCTTAACTGTTAACTAGATGTTATTTAGATATTAACTGGATATGAAAAATATCACCCTCTCGTAAATATTTGTTTAACAGTTAGACCCTGAAAATCACCAATTTTTAATGGTTTCACAAATTCTGAACTAACCCCTATCTACCAGGGTCGAGCTGTGAATTTACTGGTATAATTTACCCAGATATATTACTAGCTATAATCCAATATATCTAGTATTGATATTGTTACCCTGTGGTAAATTAACTTGTTGACCCTGAAACTGACCAATTTATAGTGGAAACTAGTCTTCCAACCCCGACAACTGCCAGGGTCTATGTTAATTTATTGGAGGGTAATATGTATATCCTACCAGTTACCCTAGGGTAAACCAACACATTACTAGCTATCATCCAATTTATCAATTTACCAATATATTTACTGGTATAATTTACTGATATTGTTATCAATCCAATAAATGGATTACTGAATTTTGACCCATCGCCCAAGGATGGTAACTGATCAATCTCCCCAGGATGCCGCTGAACGCCATCATGGTGGCCGCGTGGCGACCGGAGGCCATGATAAAATGGGAAAATGCGATGATAAAATGAATTTTTAGACCTACACAAGGTGGTGCCCCATAGTTAGCTAAGTTGGTTTATAACTCCCATAACTATGGTTTATGGCAGATATAACTATAGTCAATGGGATTTATAAACCAACTTATAACTGGGGGGCACCATCCTGCATGAATTTTAATGGATACCTAGATTAAACATGGGTTAACCAACAAGATATAGGGATTCAATGGCGGCAAATGTCGAAATGTCTATAATTATGTGAATGATCTGGGTAAATTCTAACGACCTCACTGATCTCCCTCACTGGAATCATGATTAATAAGGGAAATCATCCCCAAATGGCCGCAAGATTCAGGTTAGTGAAATATTTTAATTTACCCAGATATATTACCAAGTAATCATGAAAAAAATATTATTTGGTGATATATTAGTGTTATATTTGCCAAATATATTTTGTGATAAATTAGTGATATTTACCAAATGGATACCTATTAAGTATAGGTTAGTTATTTATCATACCTTGAAGGATGTTGGTCCCATAGATATAAAGATACCCATAATTGTTTAGACCCATGGTTACAATGGTGCATCACGTAAGATTAATGGTATTGATTTATCGTGGATTCAAAATGAATTTAAACCTGTGATTTAAACCCATGGTGATGGATGTAAACCATAAGCTAACCCATGGTAATGGGATTAATATCCTAAAGTTGACCAAAAATAGCCATTAAGGTATAGTTCGTCATTTAGTCCCATGTCAACCAGTGGGTATTGTTTCATGGTTGTTTTCCCCGTAAAGAGGTGATGTTTTTTCACCATGGGAAAGCTTCATCAACCGACTGGTTGGGTAGTTTTCGACCATCCGTTGTTGTCTATTGCTATGGAAAGTAATCCAAAAGATAATATGAATCTTGGATATTACCATGGAAAGATCCAACAAGATATCTTGGTCTGTTGATCTTACAAGACCAAGATATTGCTATCAATCTAACAAGATGATATTACCATGACTTCCAAAATATGGCGACTTTGATCGATTCTTGATGGCTAAATCCCCATTGTTCTGAGTTAACTCCCAAATGTTCCAAACAGTAGTGCCCTATATCACAGTCAAAATATGTCAAAATAAGGAAATGGAAAAAAGAACATGAACAATGTCCCAATTTGTTGATAGTCAGTCAACCTTATTACATCCCAGTCAAGTTTATGTGCTGGTTGATACTCAAAAAAGTTGCAAAAACAATGTCCAGAGATTGGCTAGTTCCATATTAATCATATGAGCCACATACATCAAGGTTTCCATAAATGGTGTTACCCCAATGGATGGTTTATTTCATGAAGCATCCCAATCTAAAATGCATGATTTAGGGGTACCGCGATGACTTATGAAACCTCCATATATGCTGGCTATTTCCAGAGATTGGCTATATCCCAACGTTCCTACAGTCGCCTATCTCTGCAACAACACCATTATGATTCCATATAATTTTTAGGATTATCCCTCATCAACACCATTAGAACACCATTTGGTTTGATGAGGGATAATTGGTTATATGCACCATAAAGAAGTTGGTTTGTAAATCATGAAATAACCCCCATGAAATCATGAACTAGTTCGTTATATCTACCATAAACCATAGAATTCATCCACAATATCCAGTCACCACCAACCACCAACCAGTATAGATCCAGCAACTTCCATAGAATTCAGCCTATCTCTGGTTCCATTCAGCCTTGGAACTTAAGCTCTGCCAGGGTCCGCGCGAGTGGACGCCCGGACGCATGTTCGCCTTGCTGGCGTTGCAGGGGATCCACAGATGGAGTGAGTGGGATTGGGACCTTTGGGACTGTCCGGGAATGGTACAGTGATGGGCCTAAACAGTTATATGATCCCAATTTGATATGAACAGTGATAATCCCATTAAAACACGAAAAAAATGGCCATATATCCCATTAAACAGTTAGATTGGGATCATATTAGTACCCATATATAGTGGTTTAATGGGATTCAATGGTGATTCAATGGGATTTAATGGGATACATGGCCCTAAACATAGCTATTACTGTACCATTGGTAATTTAATGGTCATTTAATGGTGATTCAATGGGATTTCTTAGATTCTTAGGATATATGATGGTATACCCGGCCTGGTAAACATTCACAGTTTGCGACATAGAAAATGGTGATCTATAGCTGATTTACCCATTAAAAATGATGATTTTCCATAGTTATGTTAGTTTATCAGAGGGTATAAATGGTACCATTAACTCCTATATATGTATAGGATATAACTATATGGAATCATATATAAATGGTATCTTAAATGGAATTATAATTCCTATAACTGAGGATATGTATCATTATAAACCCATTCATGACTGTTAAGGGCCATAACTGTAGGGATTTTCACCACAAAAAATTGCGAAAATGGGTGGATTGAAGGGAGTTCACCGGGTTTTTGAGCAATCTTGGCTGACTGACCATTTCCCAAATTTCATCCATTGTGCAGGATGGGGCCCCCAAGATAGCTAAGTTGGTTTATAAGTGGCTGAATTCAATGGTTTATGGTAGATATAACGAACTAGTTAATGGGGATTAGTTCATGGTTTATAAACCAACGTAAAAACATCACTGGGGGGGCCCCATCCTGTGGGCATTGGTGAAAATCAGACCAAGAATGCGATCATGAACTCGCAAACTCGCAAAAAGAGATGGGAATCTGTGAGCCCCTGGATCTTTGATGGAAGTGTTCCTCCAAGAGAAAATCGCACACGTTTATGCTGGAAGAGCTGCACACGTCAAGGACTTTTTATCTCAGTGATCCATCGAAACATTGATAGAGAAAGAAGAGCAGCGCAAAAATTAACACTAAAAACATCTAAAGACATTTGTGTTTATCACTATTAGATGTTTATGATTGTACATTTCAAATCACGTCAAAATGAAACATGTGTCGATCATAAGTCCCAAAGTGTCATCATAGGATCATAGGAGATCCCTTTCGACAAAAAAAACATGGGTTTCCTACGGGAGGCCCCAGTTCGGAATCGCGTTCAGTTGGTGAACATGACTATGTTATAACAATAGTGTATGATACGCAAATAATTATATATAAATATATATATATTTAGATGGGGTTTTAAACCAACAAACAAAACTGGGGGGCACCATCCTGAAAATCCATTGAGAGACCGTCCAAGGACGGCGGTGACGGCCGTCACAGCGGTAGCCTTCAGCAAGCAAGTGGGCGTGGGATACTCAAATCATGGCGCGGCGTTGCGACAGTTGTGTTTTACATGCTAAAAATGGTGGGTTTTCCTTGGTCAATGGGGATACAGGATGGGGCCCCCCAGTGATGTTTGTTGGTTTATAAACCATGATAATCCCCATTAACTATAGTTATATCTACCATAAACCATAGTTTTTTCAGCCACTTATAAACCAACTTAGCTATCTTGGGGGCCCCATCCTGTAGTGATAACCAACTATACGTACGAAGTACTCAAAATTCATAAAATACGTGTTGGTTGATTGTAGTGATGGTAATAGTAATAGCTGTAACTGGATTTGTTTTGTTCACCCAACCAGCAAAAGATTTGATTTGGCCATGCCACCCTTGGCTCAACCAGAGATTTTGTTGTAGATCATTGGTTGTGTGGAAGAATCCTGATGTCCGCACTAGCTTGATAGTTCAACGAGATCGACCCCAAATCAATCAACCCCGGATACTTTAATCCTAGCTAGTCTTTTGGTATTAATGGGAATATCTACGGTCACCAGCAAAGAATGTGTCATTTTTTGCATGCTATCTGGCTGATTGGCAATGTATAGTTCAGGGGGATCCTCAAAAAGTGACTGGTCCTAAGATGCCACTCCCAACCAAGCAACGCAATGGAATTACCAATCCGGGGTTCACATATTGCCAATGAAACCATCGTATTCCAGGTATGTTTGGCTGAATCCCCAGTCTGACTGATCCATTAATATCCCTAGTGTTTTATGGGTTCACATATGTTCACATCAACCCTTTGATGGCGAGATCGATTTGTCTGAAAATTGGCTAACCCAAAATCCCATGGTTGATCATCTAGTTGCCCCCGTTCAATGGCCTTGAAACCGGGACATACTCCATGTTCAGATACCCCAAATCGAGGTAGTGGCGGCACTCACTGGCAGCCTTTTTACCATGAGCACTGCCGCCCCTTGACGATTGAGACATGGGTTTCGGCATTTTCAGGGGGCCCAAAGGGTATAGGGTGGTCTTTTTTGTGCCACTAACACCTTTGGAATCCAATGCATCATAGTAGCATGTACAGAATGTCTGAAACATCTTCAGTGAATACCAGAAAAAAATAATGTCAACCCTGGTTTTTGATAAACCCCAAACGGCTGCTTAATTGGGGGGGTATCATTTAAGTATCAGATTAAGAGATTAAGACTCCTGGGGAAGTACCCCCCTGATGAATAAACTATGGTTTAGTCTCATGAGGGGTTGACATTAGAAGCAGAAACTCAAGATGTCAGTCAGATCTCAACAATTTAGTTACCTTCTGGTAAACATTCACAGTTTGCTATTGAAAATGGCCCATTGAAATAGTTGATTTACCATTAATAACATGGTGATTTTCCATAGTTTTCTGTATGTGTACCAGAGGTTTTTTTGTCATGGCAAGATAATCACCCAGCCCAGGTGCTGTTCCCTGCGGCCATAGACCTTTGCTTGGCGTTTTGCCTTGGAACGGGGGGGTCAACTGTGTGAGATGTATCAGATATATGTATATAGTATTTAATAGTATATGTAGATTAAGAATGATGTATAGAGATATTTGATACAACTTGGTATGTATAGTATATATTTATACATATATATATATTATATTATATATATATATACATTATTTGTAGCTATTGTAGGTATGATATTAATTGGATTGTATTTTTCAAGAGCGCTCCACCTTTGAATGGATTCACAGGAGTTTCATCCCAGGAATTGTCAGAGGTTCTCAGTACAAATGCTTGATTCTCAAACAATGATGGGTAGATCCCAGACCCACCATACCTCATGAATATTCATGAATCCATTACTTATTGTTTTGAGCGGCTGGCAGTGTTTGATGGTTGAATTCAGCATTGGTTCGATAGTACTTCAGGTTGTAAGAATTCTACCATGCGATTTCGTCTCCTCTCACAAGCTTATTTTTTGGATGTTTTGAATGTCATTCAACATGTTCAGCAGCCATGCAAATATCTGGTTCAGTGTGACATAGCCCATTCCCATTCCCGAGGTATGTCGATATGAGGCACCCTGAGTGCAGCGATGAAGAGGGTTCCACGTGAATCCCATATGCAAAGTTGGCTTATATTTGTGGGTCAAAATTAAAACCGAAGACGACGACCGCTGGTTTTGGTCGCTCCTAGTATTCGCCCATCATACTTTGGGTATTTTTGGGTTGCCCAATTTGGGTTACCACGCCTTAGTATTTTGTGTGGCAGGGTGGGGGATGTTCTCATAGCACATTGCGTCAGCAATACGAGCATGGTTCATGGGCATTCTTGTGTTAATCCAGGATTCATCAACCAGTTTCCGAACGGCGGGGTCCCAATGGGGTGCCCTATGTCAGGGTTGACATTATTTGGTAACTCATTCGGCAAGATTTGTGTTGTCCTGCAGCTTGTCATATCGCGAATCGCTCTTGCTCGGAAATGAAATCAACAAGCCTCGATTGTAATCTTTCACCATAGATGTGCTTTTCCCATTGGTTGGTTGATTAATAGAGGACATTACCCTCTGGTAAACTAACATTGCTATGGAAAATCACCATTTTTAATGGGTAAATCAACTAGAAATAGCCATGTTCAATAGCAAACTATGGAAAATCATTATTTTAATAGGTAAATCATGATTTTCTCAACATGGGCAATCTAGACCATAGCAAACTCTTAGACCAGTGCCAGGACAGAGCGTTGTTGTCAGCCCAGAATTTGCTGCACCTTTTGGTTTTGATTTTTGGAGCTCCTTGGCTGCATCACGTTGCTTAGATCGACTCCCAGAATCTGACCTCGAAGGTTCAACCGGTTTTTGTCGCAAGTTTGGCGGCCTTTTGTTAACATTCACAGTGTGCGACATTGAAGCCATGGCCCATTGAAATAGTTGATTTACCCATTCATAACATGGTGATTTTCCATAGTTTGCTATTGAAAATGGTTATTTCTAGTTGATTTACCCATCAAAAATGGTGATGTTCCATAGTTATGTGGTCACGTTTACCAGGCCGGATATGTTCTACTGCAGTGTCAAGATGTGTCCCGTTGCAGCCCATGTCATGATGTCCATCATGAATCAAACCCTGCGTCCGCACGGGTCACAGTTCCCCAAATAAAAAGATGGTGTCTCTTCTAATTATTGTAAATGGTCAATCAGATCTTTATCAATGTGTGGGTGATATTGTGATATTGCACTGAATATGATGAGCTCTATGCCCTCTGCAAGCTTGACATTTTTCGAGGAGCATATATGGTATGTATATTACTAGGTATACAAGAATAACTAGTTGGTGGTTTGGAACATTTTTTATTTTCCCATATTGAAAATAAGAATCCCAACTGACGAACTCCATCATTTTTCAGAGGGGTTTGTTGGCTCAACCACCAACCAGATCAGTTTCTCCAAGACAGATTTAGGTTCCTATATTATCTTCGGGTATCTTCCAGATGTTCCTATCGAGTTGTTTCAACACCAAGAACTCGTCCGAGATTCGATTCGAAAAATCGAGGTCATCATTGCTGTGGCTGGCACGTACTTGTCCGTGCTTGACCTCATCCAGTGATGAACTGCAACTGCGACGCAGGTCGTTCAGGTCGTTTTTTGGAACAGCTTGGTAGGTAGGGAAGGGCTACCAGGTACCAAAAGTTCCCGAGCCAGTTCTTCAAGTGGAAGGTAGCGGTCATAAAGATACATAGCATTTTACCAAGATAAGTAGTGTTTTACCCGATCACAAAATACCGTGTACTTTTCTTGTTCAAACCAACTGCGGAATGGTATAAGATGCTGTCAATGTTGATATCATTTGGTCTACCACATTGCAGGAACAGTACATATTCGATGTGATCGAGTACCATGAAAAAGTGGCCAGTCAGACATGGGGGCAGTGCGGAAAAAACATGTGGTGGCAAAGATGGACAAAGATTTTTGTGATGGTCACAGACTCTTCAATTGTGTGTATCTGGTACTCACTCTATTGTCTTTATTTGTTTGGCAATTTCGTTTGTACATTGGAAGGCTCCTGCGCATGAGTGAAGCATTTCAAGATATCAATTTCGCACCTAAATCATCAGGAATGACTTCACATTGCAAGTCCCAAGTCAGTGGTCCCATGCCTTATGTCAATGGGAATTTCAGGATCCTAAAATGGAGGTACATTAGTACCATATGTTTGGCCATATGAATTGTGGGTATATTCCCTAAAGAATAGGCCTGAAATATAGGCCTTATATTATATGGTAGGTACCTCCATCTGTTGGATCCTGAAATGGCCATTGATTATGTGTCACCCTTGAATCACAGCCCACCTCTGGTTGCAATGAATTCTTCCACGAATGACTTGTCGCAGATCACTGGATGGGATGGTTCCCGGCAGTTCTCGAGGGATTACAAGGTCAGATAGGTCAGATGGGTATGCAGATGTGGACATAGACTAGGTCAATCTTACATGGGTACTTTAATCCTTTAGTCTTTTGGTATGGGAATATCTACTAACCAGCAAAGAAATTATTTTTTTGCAGGGTATCTAAGATTGGCAATGTAGATGATTGCTTGGTGTCTTTGTGGAAAAATTGCAAGGATTTGATGACATGCCAGGAAACAGGCTTGATGCCAGGATGCATGATGTCTGTTTGTGTTTAGGCCAGTTGCCTTTCGCGAAAACCAGAAGCCATAATTTTCTGGCGTTGGCGTTTCTTTGATGTACATCACAAAGAGTTTCTGCAGGCGGCCAAGATTTCCGATTCTGTGGTTCTCCCACCCCAGCCCCACCCCAGCCCCACCCCACCTCATGACCATACAAGTGCAATTTAAGAATGCCTAGCGCAAGATCAAGAACTTGTGCAAGTAAAAGTGAACGTTGTTGCTCGACCCCATCTCACCTCATCCCCCACCCCACCCCAACCCCCCAAAAATATCCAAAAACGCTTGCGACCAGTGTCCCGGTCGCCAGCAAAAAAACATGCATCTACACATATCTGCAGATACGGGTATGAGTAGTATTCATCCATATTCATCCCATTTTTCTTGCTTGATATCACAATGTTTGATGGTGAATACCCAGAAATAGATCCTTTGCAGCTCAAAAGCCAAAAGCCCGTTGAATTTTCCGCAAAGAATTGCTGACCAGCTATACCAAGAATCCCAGCTATTTTGATGTTCGCCAGGGGTACAAGGTTTTGACCCATCCCCGATACATGTCCAAACATGGCACGCCACTGACTTGATAAAAGAACTGCTGGGAAACTCCTGCGGCTGGTGTGTCATGCCCAGCGGTTTTTGGGTGCAAGGGTGCCGATGGCTGTGACGTGACACACCCCGAACGCCCCAAGGCAGGCGTTGAATTTTTGAGATGGTCCTTGCCTTGACAACTTACCAAAAAGAAACAATGTTTGATTGTGAATCAGCATTGTCCACATTGAAATTAACTTATTTTGGGTATGCCCCATTTTCAGACACACCACATATGGAAGTTTCATTCTACTCTCTGAAACATTTCATTCCATCCAGGGGGTGGACCAGACATCGAATTTCAGCTACTTGGAGGTCACACGAAATCAATCAACGAAACGGGGACTTACTAACCAGGCTTAAGTTAAGCCTGGTTAGTAAGTCCCCGTTTCGTTGATTGTCCCATTTACAAATGGGCTGCAACCCCAGTGACTAACCACTTACGATCCGTGGATGGTTGGATGATCCTCCATGGAATGCTGTGGCTTTTTAACCAAGTGAGATGCGCGCTGGAAGGAAATCCCTACCTGTGGCATGGCCAGTGGGGTAAAAAATCTAGCCGAACAGAGGAGTGAAAACCACCTAAAATGGGGGACTTGGACCAACTAAAATCAGGATTTACCATCTGGTTATGACTAACATAGCCATGGAAAGATCCACCATGTTTAAGTTCGGTAAACCATCTATTTCTATGGGCCATCTATACCATGGCTATGTTGGTCACAACCAGAGGGTAACCATTTTCCGTGACACGGTGGCATTCAAAGAGCATGTTGATCAAGGCAAGGACGGTTCTGACCAGGATCGTGTTTTTTATGACCTGGATCGTCCAGGAAAGCGTCACGTTTTGGTGATCTTGGCTGTCATGTAAAACATCATCCCATGAAACTAGGGAGATACCCAATTTTATAAACCTCAAACTTCGGGATGGTACCATCTGGTTGTGACTAACACTTCACCATGGAAAGATCCACCCATTTTTAAGAACGGTAAACCATCTATTTCTATGGGCCATTTTCCATGGCTATGTTAAATAACCAGAGGGTATCCCAAACTACAATGTCTTGATTAACTGTCTTGAGTGTCTTGAGTGTCTTGGGTATCTTGGGTGTCTTGACGTTCGAGGTTTCTGCGAGCGTATTCTGTATGTTGATCGGTTCAGCTTTGAATGATCTTTACTTCAGTTGTTGAGGGTATCAAAACTCGGCACTGAGCAGGAAAAAGCAGGAGATATCTTGCACACATCCAAAGCCCCCAGTGATATGGACAAGAGGGGAGCAGACGCAAGACTACATGCCCAACAATCATTTCATGTGCAGCCACCACGTTGCAAAGATAGGCACACAATACAACTCCAAAGACACCTTCCGGAAAGATTGAAGAGTGCCTCGAAACCATGGTCCCAGTCGCAGAGAGGAAGCGTACCATTTTCTGGATGACCAATGCAACAGCTCTCCACAAAAGGAAAAATCTACTCCGGCCTGTATATGGAGGTTTCCAAAAATATCGCTACCCCTAAAGCATTCATTTTAATAGGATCCATGTTCCATACCTCAGATGGTTGCCCCCTAAGTTTGAATGGATTGGTTTAAGGGAAAATCGAAACCGGAAACCATAGATTTTCCCATGAAATTAATGGGGCTTTCCTAATTTTCCCGTGAAAACCAATCCATTGAAAGTTTGGGGGTCAGTTTGGTGAAGTGTTCTGTCAGCAAACACTGAGCCTGGACCAACTTCCGATGATCCCCGGGACAGGGGACAGGTCGCGTAAAGGTCGCTAGCTCCAAAGGAGACGCTAGCGACGCTAGCGGAACAGAGACTCCGATCAACCCGGTGGAAAGTGGTGGAAAGGTCATCATCAACGCTTGACTCCAGAAATACCCGGCCTGGTAAACTTACAAAAAGCTATGGAAAGATCCACCATGCTATTAATGGGTAAATCCACTATAAATGCACTATACATGGTAATTTTCAATAGCAAACTGTTAGTATACCAGAGGGTAGAGATGATGTTGAAGCAGCCAAGAAACTGGATCTGTGATGATGTGTGAATCCGAAGGCTTCAATGGATTTATTCTGCTTAGGTGCTTGTTTCAATTTTGGCTGCAGTGGGTCATCATCACTTCGATGATCCACAGTGCTGTCAGATTTCGCCACAATCGGATGTATCACAATTTAATGGTTGGTAAACATACAAAAAACAATGGAAAATCACCATGCTATGGGTAAATCAACTATTTCGACTGGATCATTTTCAATAGCAAACCGTAACAAATTACCAGAGGGTATACCATCATATATCCCATTAAATCCCACTAAATCCCATTAAATCCCATTTTTTATCACCATTGAATCCCATTAAATCACCATTTTCAATGTCGCAAATACCAGAGGGTTTGCAGAAATTCCTTTCGCATCTACCCAGCATTGGTTCACTTTGCAGCGGCAGCGTTTCGCAGGTATGTTCCTCTACGCCGACCTCGCAGACAGTGTGGGCCCCGTGGGCCCCGTGGGCCCCCGGCTCCGTGGGGCAACCGCAGTTCATCAAGCCATGTGGGGCAACCTCAAAATGTGGATGGTTGGTGGTTAATAATGGGTCACTAATGATGGTTAATCATGGTGAATAATGGTGAATAATCACTGGTTGGTGGTTTGGAACATGAATGTTATGAATTCCCATATTCCCATATATTGGGAATTTCATCATCCCAACTGACTTTCACTCCATCATTTTTCAGAGGGGTGGCTCAACCACCAACCAGTGTGGATGGTTTTCAAGAAATTCAGTACTCAATTCAGAATTGCCCTAACTTTCTCTGGAAATATCTAGAACCTAGGTTCGTTGCTTGAGTCAATTCTTGCACATCCAGATTTCTAAACGTGACATCCCATCGCTTTGAAATCACGTCTCGGTGATCCAGAGGAATTTCCGGTCGGAAAGGGTGAGCGAAAAAAACTGACAGAAGAGCAACACTTGGTGGCTCATCCCACGGCTCGTAAGTGGATTATAACCCCAATTATAAATGGGATAAGTAGGGTTAATCCACTTCTAATTGGGGTTATAACCCACTTACTAAGTGGGATGAGCCACCAAGCATTCAATCCCCCAGTATCAAAGTGCAGATACACATTTCTTTCGTTCACCGTTAGTAGACCCCCATTTCCATTGGTATATTCCGCAAAGGCTCGAAAACAACACCCATGGAAAAAAAGAAAACATTGATAAGATGTCAATGCCATTAAGAGCTGTTTCATACCATGATTTCGTTCCGGTCATTATTGGTCAACCATTTATGTTATATAGTACCATAGTAAAAAGTTTAGTTTGTTGACCAATAGTACTAACTATTACAGTACTAACTATTACCATTTAGTACCATAAAACTAAATACAGTTCCTATCAATCTTTCGTTCCTGTAGTGAAACTCTGAAATCCGATTATCAGTTGTTCTTCGTGAAAAAGCCAATGGTTTCGTGAAATGTTTCACCATGAAAAAATCCATCAGAAATCATTCCCATCTAGTTGGTTTCAAACGTGAATGGACTATTTTCCATTTCATATATGGGATGTCATCCTTCCCATTGACGAACTCCATCATTTTTCAGCATGGTTAAAACCACCAACCAGCCATGAATCACACCACAGAAAATCCGGAAAAATCACCAAAAAATACAAACAAACAAAAAAAACACCAGAAAATCCAGAAAAAATCCAGAAAAATCCCAAAAAAAAAAACACGAAAATCCCATGAAGAATTCCATGATCCAGGTCATCGTGGTCCTTTCGCCTGGCAGAGGCGAAAAAGCGGGCCTTTTGAAGCCACAATTGTTCAGAAAAACTATGGGAAAATATGTGGTCTGATGTGGTTTAATGGGATTGTTTGTTTGTTTTTGTTTACCCTTTTGCAAATCGAACACGGCCATGGAAAATAACCAGTTTGTAGATGATTTACCTCTTTAAAATGGTGACCAGTGGACGGAGCATGGCGCCAGGCTCCTGATGAACTTCTGCGCTCTCACCGCCCACGTTCTTCACACGGTGCGACGTTCAACCAGCTCAACATAGTTCCCCTCTGGTAACGTGTTGCGAAGTGGAAAATCACCATCTTGAAGAACGGTAAATCAACTATTTCTATGTGCCATGTTCAATAGCTATGTAGCAAATTACCAGAGGGTATATCCATCATATATTCCATATATATATATATATATATTCCATACATATTACATATTATTCCATATATATTCCATATATATTCCATACATATTCCATATATATATATTCCATATATATTCCATATATATTCCATATATATTCCATATATATATATATATTCCATATATATATATATTCCATATATATATATTCCATATATATTCCATATATATTCCATACATATTCCATATATATATATTCCATATATATTCCATGTATTCCATATCTGACTGAACGTATAACCCATGGCCTCTTGTTTGTTGATGGAACCATCCCAAAATGAGAGTCGGATCTGCAGATCTTTGGGAATCGGGGCGGAATCGTAGCCCGAGCCAAAAAACGGCAAGCCCGCACAATACTGTGACAGTAAGGGTTTCTTCTTCAATTATATATACAATGTGGGGCCCCCAAGATAGCTAAGTTGGTTTATAACTCCAATAACTATGGTTTATGGTACTTATACCTATAGTTATGGGGGTTTATAAACCAACTTATAACTGGGGGGCCCCACATTGTAATTATCTGGGTAAATTATAACCACCTCACTATGTAAATTATCTGGGAAATTAGTATACATGTATAAAATTGTTTGGGGGTGAATGTTTATGTTTATATGAAATATTACAATAATTATATTATACATATATATATATGTATGGGGAAATAATAACGACCTCACTGCGACCTCACTGGAAATGATGGTTAGTAAGGGGAAACATCCCCAAGATAGCCTTATTTCAGGTTAGTGAATTAATATTTCAGATACCCAGAATTATGTAATAATTATGTGAATTATCGTAAATTCATATTCAGGACCACTATTCTTCGAGGATGGGTTGTTTTTTGGGGATTCATTAGCCCTGTCAGTCCCATGTCCCATGTCAATGTGACCTGGGTGGTTTCACCGAAGTCAAAGGTCATCTGTGCTCTGTGGGGTTCATCCCAATGGATGTCAATGGGAGATCTTCAGGATCCAACAGATGCTACGTAAACGTACCATATCTTTGGCCATATCTAGTTTCCATGGCCATAGAGTAAAATGTGAAGTAAAAATTGGTCTCAAATAACCATACAGGATGGGGCCCCCTTCAGATAGCGTGAACCGTTGGTTTATTTTTGTGGCTGAAAAAACTATGGTTTATGGTAGATATAACGAACTAGTTCATGGGGATTATTTCATGGTTTATAAACCAACGTTCACATCACTGGGGGGCCCATCCTGTAGACCCACCAAAAGAAAATGGTGGAATTCGAGCTTTTTGGTCGATTTTTGGTCAAAAATTGTCGTGGCCTGGTCCAGATTGTGGCCTACATGGTTCTGATGGCAGCCTGGCCGGATGATCACCACGATGAGGCGATAAAACCAACATTTTCGCGGAGTTGGGACGTTGGGACGTTGGGAAAAGCCCATGTGATCTGGGGCCCCCAGTGATGTTGGTTGGTTTCTAGGTCAATCGACTAGATGGGTACAAACTAATCAAAAATGGTGATTTTCCATAGTTATGTTAGTCTATACTAGGTCAATCTGAAAAATGGGTACAAACTAATCCTAACTAGTCTTTTGGTATGGGAATATCGAACCGTTCACCAGCAAAGAATTTGTCATTGTTTGCAGGGTATCTAAGATTGGCAATGGTTTATAAACCCCATTAGCTATAGTCATAAGTATCATAAACCATAGTTAATTATTGGAGTTATTTGCACCAACTTGGCTATCGAAAACGGGGGCCCCACATTGTACCATTTCCAGTTCTTAGAGAATCATGTTTTTTGGATGAAGATAGATGTATCAATTGGAGTTGGTTAGCATTTCCAGTTCTGACATGTGGCTATGGATCAATACCTATAAAAATACCATTTGTTAGGGGGTTATTCACATCCATTTTTACCCAGCTATTTTGATGTGAACAAAAAAGGGCTACTATTGGTTTTGACCCATCCCCATGTCATGAAAAACTCGGATCAACCAGAAAAAAATGGATTAGTGCCATGACCCACAGTCGCTTAGGATAGGGCGCCTATCCTCATCAAAACCCGCGCGAAACCTTGAGGAATAGAAATGGTCATCATGTTAACTGAAAAATTGGATGAAGGAAATGCATGTTCCGCTCGAATTCTGCAGAGGATCCAAGTTTGGTAAATGAGTGGAAGATGGTTTCTCAAAGATGTCCAGGTTCTGAAAAAAGCAACTTCTCCCAAGATCAAAATGATTTAACTCACACTATCTTTGGCCAGCTGAGCTGCTTCCCGGTCAGGAAGCCTTGCTTCCGGGGAAGTTTCGGTCCACTTTGTACCTTGACGTCTTCGGGTGCCTGAGCCTGCCAAATTTCAATTGTGGACTTGTTGATTTCTATCCAATACAATGTGGGGCCCCCAAGATAGCTAAGTTGGTTTATAACTCCAATAACTATGGTTTATGGTACTTATACCTAACTATAACTATAGTTGTGGGGGTTTATAAACCAACTTATAACTGGGGGGCCCCACATTGTAAGGCGCACCAATATCCCCATTGAGAAATACTTGGAAGAGGATGGCTGGACCACCTGTCAACTTCCGTAGAAGATTGAAAATCTGGTGTCAGGCATCCAAAATTTCTTTGGACAACCGAATAAGACCTGCAAGTTGCCAACCTACAGCACGAAACTCGCTCAAACGAGCCCAAAACATGTAGGTTGCCAAGAGCCCCGAACCCACTCCAACAGGCAATAGCAAGAAACCATAAATAAAACCTGCACAGGCAATAGCAAGGAGCGATGAGACCTGCAGGTTGCCGACATATTCCAACAGGCCATAACAAGGCCCCAAAAGAACTGTAGGTTGCCGACATACAGCCCCAAACCCACTCAAACAGGCCATAACAATGCCCCAAAAGAACTGTAGGTTGCCGACATACAGCCCCAAACCCACTCCAACAGGCCATAACAAGGCCCCAAAAGAACTGTAGGTTGCCGACATACAGCCCCAAACCCACTCCAACAGGCCATAACAATGCCCCAAAAGAACTGTAGGTTGCCGACATACAGCCCCAAACCCACCCCAAGAGGCCATAACAAGGCCCCAAAAGAACTGTAGGTTGCCGACATACAGCCCCAAACCCACTCCAACAGGCCATAACAAAGCCCCAAAAGAACTGTAGGTTGCCAACATACAGCCCCAAACCCACCCCAACAGGCCAAAACAATGCCCCAAAAGAATTGTAGCTGCCGACATACAGCCCCACACCCACTCCAACAGGCCATAACAAGGAACCAGAAGACCTGTAGGGTGCCAACATACAGCCCCAAACCCACTCCAACAGGCCATAACAAGGCCCCAAAGGAACTGTACGCCCCAAACCCACTCCAACAAGCCATGACAAGGCCCCAAAAGAACTGTACGTTGCCAACCTACAGGCAATAGCAAGGAGCTGTAGGTTGCCAACATACAGCCCCAAACCCACTCCAACAGGCAATAGCAAGGAACCATAAGACCTGTAGGGTGCCAACATACAGCCCCAAACCCACTCCAAGAGGCAATAGCAAGGAACCATGAGACCTGTACGGTGCCAACATACAGCCCCAAACCCACCCCAACAGGCCAAAACAATGCCCCAAAAGAACTGTAGATTGCCGACATACAGCCCCATACCCACTCCAACAGGCCATAACAACGCCCCAAAAGAACTGTACGTTGCCAACCTACAGGCAATAGCAAGGAGCGATGAGACCTGTAGGTTGTCAACATACAGCCCCAAACCCACTCCAACAGGCAATAGCAAGGAACCATAAGACCTGTAGGGTGCCAACATACAGCCCTAGACTTGAAAGCATTTTATTCGACCGCTTCTCTGTGTGCTTGGTCGTGCACTGACTCACCAGAATTTTCTCAAAGCAGGATGCGCTACAATTGCAATTAAAATTGGAGTTAGATCTTTTGTTAAATCTTTGATTCTAGTATATGTTTATCAATATTTTCCAGGAGATCCTGGGCAGATTTTTGTCAGTGTATTGACTTCCATCTCTACGCAAGCCAATGGATCAAAAGATCCCATGTATCCTGAATGCAGAGCTTCAAATCAGATGTGATGAGCACTGCATTCTAAGGGTCCGTTAAAAATACGTACGGATATATGTCTGATCCAACGAGTCCTGTGCGCGATTCCCGTGTAAAAATCCCGAAATTAGGATCCCAACCACTTCATGGGAGGGACGCATTGGCAGTTGTAGTCAGTGTAGCTTAGATTACGAACAACAAAGGAAACTGCTCAAGCTAAGATTCCATTTCTCATAATTTACCATTTTCAGAAACAACTGTGGTTAAAACAATGTCATAAACTTAAACCACCCATGACTGGGAAGGGTTTAATTTATACCACCTATTTACTGTTTCAACCACATTCGATGTGTTTTTTTTTCGGTTTTTCCCATCGAAGCCAGGTGGCTGTTGAACCCCACAGGGCCAGGACCTCGACGAAATGAACGAGAGGCGGCACTGGGATGATGGCGGGAACTACTGTGGCATGGCATGGCTATGGTCAATACTCATGGTTAATAACCATTAAAAACGGGGCTAGTCATCCAATGGTTCATAGGGATTTATGATAACCATTATAAGAATCCTTATTATGGATGGGATGACCATCAACCATATAGTGAGTATTGACCATGTGAGGCCCCCGTTCGATAGTTAAGTTGGTGCGTTTATAACTCCAATTTTACTATGGTTTATGGTACGCAAATAACGAACTAGTTACTGGGGCGAATCTAAACCAACAAACATTCACATCACTGGGGGGTCTCACATTGTAGGATAACTAATGGATGATCAATGATATCAATGGATAATCAATGATATTCCATTAGGTATAATTAATGATATCCCACTAATTTTCATGATGTTCCACTAGTTTATAAACCCATTACTAGGTCAATCTTGGATGGATACAAACTAATCCTAACTAGTCATGGGACTCCAGTCATCATCCATTTTAGATTGGGATGTTCCATGAAAATCCAAGTGCCCCAAGACGATCTGGTTGGTGGTGACTGGAACCATGGAATTTTGAATGACTTTCCAGACACAGTTGGGAATGTCATCATCCCAACTGACGAACTCACTCCATCATTTTTCAGAGGGGTAGGGCTCAACCACCAACCAGATTTTAGATTGGGATGTTCCATGAAAATCCATGAAATAAACCATCCGTTGCGAGCGGAGGGGCAACAGCATTGATGGAAACCTCCCCATTTTTCTGTGGCGATGGAAACCTCATGGGATTTTTTTTCGGACCATGCAAGAAACCATCCAGCTATCGGTTTTTGTTACCCTTCGACCGGCCTTTCATGGAAACATCAGATACAGGATGGGGCCCCCGTAAACGATAGCGTGAACCGTTGGTTTATTTTTGTGGCTGAAAAAACTATGGTTTATGGTAGATATAACTATAGTACAACTATAGTTAATGGGGATTATTTCATGGTTTATAAACCAACTCATATCTGGAAGGCCTCACCTCGTGATATCTGGAAGGCTCTCCAGAAAATTCACGGGGAATTCCTCAGCAAAAGCCGGCCTTTTGTTGGTCATGGTGGAGCCAACGTTGGCATCTAAAAGGGTTGAACTCAGAACTAACACCGGTGTTGTTTCATAGAATTGGATGATGGGAAAATTTACAGGAAAAACCCATATTTAAAGGGAAAAACCATGGTTTCCTGTAGATTTTCCCTTAAACCAATCCATTGATTGTTGTCAAAACTCGAAAAAGTGCGGCATGAATTCAGGGCATGGCTCTCGGGAGACAAACTAGCGATCGCTTTTTTTGGTTGGTGGTTTGGAACATTTTTTATTATTTTCCATTCAGTTGGGAATATCCATCCCAACTGACGAACTTATATATTTCGGAGGGGTAGGTATACCACCAACCAGTTTTGGGCATGAATTGACATAGAAAAGCAACTGGAAGATGAAGGCCATTACCAGGAAAGATCAGACGGGCAAACCATCCTGGTTGTGTTCCACCAAAAGAGTTACCCTCTGGTTATGGCTAACATAGCCATGGAAAATGGCCCATTTAGAGATGGTTTACCGTTCTTAAAATGGGTGGATCTTTCCATGGTGAACTGGCAATGTCATAACCAGATGGTACCATCCATCGAAGTTTGAGGTAAAAAAAATTGGGTATCTCCCTAGAATTGGGATGATGTTGTACATGACAGCCAAATTGGCTGGTAATGGTATGGTTCATTATTCTGGGTAAATTATAACGACCTCACTGATCTCCCTCACTGGGAATCATGGTTAATAAGGGAAATCATCCCCAAATGGCCTTAATTCAGGTTGGTGAAATATTATAATTTACCCAGATTATTGGGTTTACCACATGATACGTCTCTTGACATGAATTTGAGTATGCTGGCGATTGTCAATCGTGCAGCTGTAAAGGTTTTTAGAGATCAGAAGGTCATGAGGTTTCATGGTGAACAAAAAACCCAGCACCAAGTCTTGTCACCTGGTTCAAGCCTCCAGGAAACCTTCGTTGATGGCTGGCTAGAGGAAATTGTCTTGAAGACTCCTGATTCTTTAATTGAGCAGTGGCTGCTAAACCCAAAACCCGGGTAAGACACTGTTGGTTGATGGTTAGTTCAAGGGTTGTACTACTCCAAATATTTGGATTCTCATAAACCATGAACTGAGCAGTGACTGCTAAACCCCTGGTGGTTGATTTGTATACATCATCCATGAACTGGAAAATCCGCTCGTAACCAGCCAGTACAATCGAATGAGAGGGTTTTGAACACTGCTCAATTGTTTTTTGTCAGAATCTATTCCCACCATAACATGATAAATCGTGATAGAATGGTTTGTTATTTGAATGTTATGTCATTGCCCAGAGAATTTCGTTGTTGTCACATTGTTGTTGTCAGTTGCTGCCAGGATGATGACGATGAAGGCCATTTTTTGGCACATGGAGCGTATGATGGGCCTTTCATAATAACAGCTACCCTCTGGCAAACATACAAAAAACGATGGAAAATCATCATTTCGAATGGGTAAATCAACTATTTATATGGCCATGTTCAATAGCAAACTGTTAGTTTGCCAGAGGGTGTAGTTATCTACACATAATATATAATGATATATAATGCTATATTCGTATGTGTCCCCAAGCAGCTAAACATCACTGTATATATTATATATATACTATTATCGACTGACCCCATCAAGGGGTAATGTCAATGGAGGACATCCCAGGAACCCTGTATGACAAGCACTGAGATATACCATGTCACAAAATCCAAACACTGTCAACTAAAAGTTCGTGTAACTTCCCTCAAAAAGCTGAGCATGTTCGTTCGTTCATTGCCATGTTGTTGTTTCAACCACTGTTTATTTGTTTGATATCCATTACCCTCTGGTTATGACTAACAGTTCGCCATGGTATAGATGGCCCTAATCGAAATAGATGGTTTACCTATTAATAGCATGGTGGATCTTTCCATGGCAAACTGGCAATGTCATAACCAGATGGTATTCCCTTGAGCGGAATCCCTATCGTTGATAGTTTTTCCACCCCAGAACTGCGAACTCGCGCAGTTCGTAGCATGCGCAGCTTTATGGGCAGTCGTCAGGCAGGGCGTTTCATGGAGTTTCATGGAGGTTCAAAATGTGATGTTCACCGTGTTGTCCATGGGATTTTATCGTTTTTTTAATGGGATTTAAGGATTATAGGGGGTTACTACCCAAATGACAGAGCTTCTGAACACTGCTGTTTTTTCTTTGTCAATGGGCGAAAATAACATCCCCTCAACTGAGATGGACCCTGAGAATGTTGTTTCTAGGTCAATCTTACATGGGTACTTTAGTCCTTTAGTCTTTTGGTATGGGAATATCTACGTTCACCAGCAAAGAATTTGGTCCATTTTTTGCAGGGTATCTAGCTGATTGGCAATGAATATATTCTTGTTGTTTCTAGGATTACCCTCTGGTGAACTAACATAGCGAACTGGAAAATCACCGTGCTATTAATGGGTAAAACCACTATTTCAATGGTCATTTTCAATAGCTATGTTAAATTACCAGTTGGAATTCATCACACCATTAATAACATCAGGTGGCAATAGGTGGTATTAATCATCATTAACCATCATTAACCATCATAAACAATCATTAGTGTGGTATCAGAAAGCTCCAACCAAGCTCCAACCAGGACAACGTGATGCCTAGCGCCTCGCCGCCCAGCGCTGCCAGCGCTGCCAGCGCTGCCAGCGCTTCACCGCCGCGGCCGGTGTCGCTGGAGGTGGGGAAACCCACATGGCTGGGTAGGTTGATGGTTGGGTATGTTGATGGTTAAGTATCCTATATACCCTCGGATTATTTAACATAGCCATGGAAAAATTGTGATTTTCCATAGTTATGTTAGTTTACCAGAGGGTATATCCTACTGTATGGATACTACTAGGTCAATCTGAAAAATGGGTACTTTAATCCTAACTAGTCCTTTGGTATGGGAATATCTACGTTCACCAGCAAAGAATTTGGTCCATTTTTTGCAGGGTATCTAAGATTGGCAATGTATACCCTCTGGTTATTTAACATAGCCATGGAAAATGGCCCATTTATAGATGGTTTACCTATTAAACACGGTGATTTTCCATGGCTATGTTAAATCACCAGATGGTATATATAGATATATATATATATAGAAAATGGTTGAGTATATTGATATAGATGGTTAAATGGTTAACTCTATAGGTTCTTAGGTGGTTTAAGTATGGTTGAGTATATTGATGGTTAAGTATCCAGTACTATCCCACTAAAGATCCATGGTCCATTAGAGCCATCATTAATGCAATCGGGGGGGTCCTAAGTCATGATGGTACCCCAGTCATAATCCAGTCATTAGACCATTTTAATATTGAAATCCATGGTAATCGCCCATTTCAAGAAACCCCCATATGTAAAAATTAAAGTAGGTCGGAAAAAAATAAGAAACCGGACATCTTAAATTTGGAATGCTTCAAATATCAATTTTCAAATGGTTGATGATTTCATTGACCCCCTGGTGTTTGGGTTATTAGGAAAGATCACTGTGCGCCGCCACGCTGACAATATTTGCATTCAGGGGCATACTTCTTCCCTGAATATCTGGAGCACTCCGAAATGAATTTTTGAATCTCAAATGATACTCCGAAAACCCAACTTAGAGATGAAACTAGATGATGTTTCCCCAAGCACGAGCAAAACACGAGATCCTGAATTTGTAGCTCTGTAGGTGATGTTCGAATGGTCAAATGTTGCCGAGTTTTCGAAAGATTTCTTGGGATGCAGCGCCAGGCTGTTCGACCCAAGAGGTGTGCGTGGCCAGAGAGATACTGACGGTGCTGATCTTTTTTTTTCAATGGGATTGATGATGTTCCCAGATGTTTAGTGGGATTTTTTACTGGATTTTTTAAGGGATTCTCATGATTTTTTCTTGGAGCCTCTGAACATCACTGATTTCAGTGTTGGGCTCAGTGAAGTTGAGGAGTTTTCACCTATGTCTAGATGCTCCCAGCTTAGGAGTCGTTGGGACTCCGCTTCTGCTGTCAGCTTTCGTGGAAGCACCTCGGTCCGGCCGGCTGGGGGATAGGCTTTCAGCGAAAGGATCCCCTTACTGGTCACCATGGGTTTACGAAACAAAAGTCGATGATTTGGGGGTAGCCCTATTTTAGGAAACCCAACATATACCCTCTGGTAAACTAACATAACTATGGAAAATCACCATTTTTAATCGGAAAATCCACTATAACTTGCCATTTTCAATAGCTATATGTAACAAATTACCAGAGGGTAAGTATAGTATTCATAGGGGTTTACAAAGCAATGTTCACATCGGACCCTCACCTTGTAGCCAGCCCGGTGTGGTAAAAAAACCACGAGAATTACTAGGCTTTTGACCCATGCCTTACTGAAATGCAGGAATTGTGCATGTTGACCATGTCCCAAGTGGAAAGTTTGCTGGAGACTTTTGGGAAGGTTCCGACTGCAAACTTCTGGGTAAATTTGACCACGACCGAACCCTGATCTCCCGAACCCTGGGAATCATGGTTTTTATATTCGGGAAATCATCCCCTTTTAAAGGCCGCAAGATTCAGGTTAGTGAATTATTATTTCATTTACCCAGAATTATGTACTGTATAATTATGTGAATTATCGTAAATTCATATTCAGGACCACTACAGCTGTATTGTAAGTATCATTTACCCAGAAAGAAACGAAGCTCAACTAGAGCCGTACCGTGCTTCGCTGATAATGATTTAATTGATTTCACCGGAAATCGCGCTAGCTTGGAGAATCTATACAGGATGGGGCCCCCCAGTGATGTTTTTACGTTGGTTTATAAACCATGAAATAATCCCCATGAACTAGTTCGTTATATCTACCATAAACCATAGTTTTTTCAGCCACAAAAATAAACCAACGGTTCACGCTATCTGAAGGGGGCCCCATCCTGTAGGCTATATGTTTGTACTTTGGGCTGATCTTCAAATCCAAGTATATCGGGACCCCAAAATCAGAGGACCAAACCACTGCTGGCGGATTCTGTTGTGCGACAAAAATGTACCGATCTGACAGTTGATCCATTGCGATTTTGATGTGCGGTCATTCATATATATTCATATGTCATATGTCATATGTCATATTAAAATTGCCGCATATGAAATTCCACATGTCATTTCGCTTAAATGCCCGTGTGTTGCATGGTTTAGTGCCTTTTTCCAACTGATTTCTAGATTTGGATCTGAAATTGGACCCCCCAAATCACCACTGAATGAGGAACAATGTGGGGCCCCCAAAGATAGCCAAGTTGGTGCAAATAACTCCAATAACTATGGTTTATGGTACGCAAATAACTAAAGTTATGGGGGTTTATAAACCAACTTGGCTATCTTGGGGGCCCCACATTGAAGCTGATGATAATCCATTGCAATTCGGGATTCCCCATTTTTCAGGTCAAGCCCTCGAGCCCCATAGCTCAGGCACAGCGGAATCCTCGAGCCGGAGCAAACTGGGGATGGCGCCCAGTTTTATCATTTGGATTAAGGAGCTTAGAGATATATTGAAGCTTGGTAAATTATATATAATTATATGTGTATATATATATATATATATATTTGATAGGTGTCATACAGTTGTTGTTGTGTTCAAATCATGACCCTTTGCCAATATATAGAGAAATAAAGAGAAATAGATACCCGAAGAATGAGTATCATTGCTTTTGCCACCATTATTGGAGTTCAATGTGAACCCGAGATTTGCAAAATCCCGAGATGAATGGCTCAACTAACTTTTTTGTCTCGGGATGTCTGACGGTTTTTTTTTTACCCAGCAGTAGACCATCCCATTTGGGGTTTATGAAATGGTACGGTATGCCCCTAAAACTCTTGAAGCTGACCCCCATGGTGAATTGGTGAATGGGATGGTTTGTTATGCTGACCACATAATCAACCAACTCTGAAAAAACTGCAAGCAGCGGTTTCAGCATGTCGAGATGTTATCATCTCGATGATCCCAATTGATGCCTACAAGATTGGCTCGGGTGGCTCAAAAATAAATCAGACATGTGGATTTATCCACTTCTTGTTGGCAGATGCCGTAAATTTGCCAATGTCGACCCATAAGAAAATTAAATCCTGGTTGCTTTTTTATGCTTTTTTAGGGGCTACGCCAGAAAAAAATGGTGATTTGCTAATTTCTTATGCACCCTCATGAAATCTGGCTGATTTCCTCTAACATTCGTGATATGCAGATGGGTCGATGCCTCTCAGGGCCTCTGTTTGGAGGGGATGAATCGGATGAACCTGCAAAAAATTGCGCAGAAAACTTGATGTGACCACTTCGTCGTTTTGACCTACCCAGCTTGTATTATCCCACATATCCCACCTGGTTGGTGGTTTGGAACATTTTTGATCATTTTTGTATGCTTCCATTTCAGTATATTGGGAATAATCATCCCAACTGACTCTTTTTCAGAGGGGTTGAAACCACCATCCAGCCACTATATCGCATTAGATCTTTCTTTAGTGGACAATGAAGTCAGAATTGATTGTGCCCGGTTTTCCAAGTGCATCCTCATATAAAAAATGGTTGATTGTTTTTGCAGTTTTAGACCCCCACAATGTTTGTGGATTAAATCAGATACCCTCCGGTAATTTAACATAGCTATTGAAAATGACCATTTATAGTTGATGTTCCCATAAAAAATTGTGATTTTCCATAGTTATGTTAGTTTACCAGAGGGTAAAGCCCCCATCTTTTCCGCATCTCCCCATGTTTTTACTTTCTCAGTGACCGGTTTTCCGCTCTGCCTGGAGGACTTCACGTCGCACAGTACGCCTGGGCGTGTTTGGTTTCATATGGTTGATGAAATGGCCCCGAAATTTCATGTGAAACTGTGAAACCAAAAAAACAATGGAAACATCCACTATGCTATATGCCTATGTGTCAAAATTAGACACTCCAATAGTATCCAATCAGACTAACATCTGTGGTCGGGTCTCAACTTTTGAACCAGAACCATATGGACTTTATGGGGATCTGACCACCAAATATCGGGATATTTTCTGCGATAGTTCATGGGCTCAGAAGGGCACTGAATACCCTCTGGTAAACGTACAAAAAACTATGGAAAATCACCATGCTATTAATGGGAAAATCAACTATAAATTGCCGTTTTCAATAGCTATTTTGACATAACCAGAGGGTATGTTAAACAGTAACGGCATCTTTGGTCAAAATTTGGATCGGGAATGTGATGATCGAATTGTTATTTTACAGCTCTGGTATAGATGGCTCATAGAAATAGATGATAAAAATAAGATGATTTACATATTACAAAAAAATGTGACGTTCATTGATGTTCCATAGCTATTTTGTTGTAACCAGAGGGTGCCATTAATTAGGGGTATGATTTGTGTTGGTGTTGGCCATGTTCGGGGGTGAACTTGGCAGTGACCCACGGTGACATTGAAGAATTCTCAGGGCTTAGTAGGTGAGATATGCTTGCGCATGTTTGGGTGATTCCGATAGATACCCTCTGGTAAACATTCACAGTTTGCTATTGAAAATGGCCCAGTCGAAATAGTTGATTTACCCATGAAAATCGCATGGTGATTTTCCACAGTTTTTTGTACGTTTACCAGAGGGTACGGGCAATCCTAGAGTAGGAATATAGACAGCCACGCCATGGCAATATGGCTATGGATCAATACCTATACATACCACCTTTAGGGGGATGAACATCCATTCACCAGCTATTTTGATGTTCACCAGGGGTACAAGGTTTTGACCCATCCCCATATGATCTACTTCATGGATTCAATGCTCAGTATGCTCAGTATACCACCGAAACACAACCAACTGATCCTCAATACCCGGAAACTAGGTCAATAGATGGGTACCCTCTGGTTATGTCAAAATAGCGAAAATGGCCATTGAAATAGTTGATTTACCCATTGAAAATGGTGATTTTCCATAGTTTTTTGTACGTTTACCAGAGGATATTTTAATCCTAACTAGTCTTTTGGTATGGGAATATCTACGTTCACCAGCAAAGAATGTATCAGTTTTTGCAGGCTATCTGGCTGATTGGCAATGGAAAAATTCTTTGGAACTGAGTTCAACCACAGAGCAACACCGCCATATCGCCCTTTAAAATCCCTGCTGATTTTGATCAATCGGAGCGCTTGGCAGTCGCAGAATTATCAAATTGGGTCATGTTTTTCTTCGTGAATCTACAGGAGAATGACACTGCAAGTTTGGTCAGGTTGCTTCTAATATCAAACCCCAATTGAAAAGCTGCAGCTGGCGCCACCAATTGCTGCCCATCGGCTTGGTAAATAAATTTACGGTTCAAGAATGTGTGGATATTTTCAGAAACAGGCAAAGAATGTACCCTCTGGTTATGTCAAAATAGCTATTGAAAATGGCTATTTATAGTGGATTTTCCCATTGAAAATGGTGATTTTCCATAGTTTTTTGTACGTTTACCAGAGGGTAATTGTTTCTCCCCAATCTCTCTCCCATCTCCAGACCACAAGTACGGTAAATTGGGTGCTCAACAATCCAGCGGTTCATCATGATTATCATGGTGTTTCTCAAAATAAAGATTGCTATGATGCGAAATGATGCGAAAAGAGAACAGAAAAACACATGTTCAGACCCGAAGGAAAAAAAAACTGATTGGTGGTTTCAAACATTTTTTTCCATTTCATATATGGGATGTCATCCTTCCCATTGACGAACTCATATTTTTCAGAGGGGTAGGGCTCAACCACCAACCAGAAACAGGCCCAAACCCAAATCAGCAAAGAGGACAAAAAATGTCAGATTGTGCATTTACATTACATACATATTACATATATATATATATTACATACATTACATACATTACATACATTACATACATTACATACATTACATGTGTTACATACATGACAAGAAAAGATCCAAAATCCAGCTGGAACTAGCTGCTGTGACCCAGCGATTCTTGCCTCATCCGCCATCCGCCATGGGATTCCTTGAGGAGGTACCAAAAGTCATTGCTGCGGGAAGTATCGTCGGTCCTCTGGTTATGAAAAATGGGATGTTTATGGGTGATGATTACCCTCTGGTAAACGTACAGAAAACTATGGAAAATCACCATTTTTCAATGGGAACATCAACTATTTCAATGGCCATTTTCAATAGCTAACTGTTGACATAACCAGAGGGTACCATGCCCAGATCATCCCATCATATCCCATGAAATCCCTCGTGAAATCATGTGAAATCACCATGAAGGTCCAATGAAAGTGCCATAAAATCCCCATGAAGTTCCCATGAAACCACCATGAAATCCCATAGAATCCCATGAAATCCCATGATATTCATCTGATATTCCCATTCTTTGTTTCGCTTGGTCATGTTTAAGCGTTTACAGCGCTGGCACCAGGCGACGCCCATGTCATGGGACGAGAGCGTGAAGCATCACGAAGCCTTGAAGGTCGATTTTACTGATGCGATGATGTGCTTAATGATTGTAGTTTCATGTACCACTGGTAGTGTGGTTTAGTGATGGTTTCACACTGGTAGCTTCAATGCTAGTCATGAGATTTTATGTGATGGGGAATGGTTTTTTATCCAGGTCAGAAACTCCACAAGCGACTGTCTTCGTGAAAGTCACCGGACCCATAAACTGGCTGTGGTGGATTGGGAAAAACAGGGAAAATCCACCAGCGACTATGGTGAAATTATAAGTATAATGTTCGAACATATACTATGATTTATGGTTTTTAGTCTCTACTATGTAGACTATGTCTTTGGCCATTCAAGACTATGGTTTTCACATGTTTTCAGCATCGAAGTTGATTTCGGTGCTATCAAAACGAGAAGTTTGGGACACCCCTGAGCTCCCTTCCGCAGGCGAATGGCATCGAGCAGTTTCTGACGGTCTGCCAGATTGGGTAGTATATGGTGTGCTTCGATGGCGAAATTTTGTGGTAAAGACCTCCAAAAAGTGTATTGAAAAGACCTGGGTTCAATGGAAAAGTATAAAGCCTTTAAAAGGCAAAAACTCGATCTTGAATCAAAGTGAACGATTTTGAGAGGAAAATCGCATGATTTTTTCAGTTTCAGAAATATGATTTGCTCGACATGTTGAGCGATATTTTTTTTTGACAGATAGTTCTTGTTGGAGGAAGATGATGCCCATTGGTTAAGGGATTTCTTTTACAGGAAGCAACAACACTTGATAGCTAACAAAACTTTGGTTTCCTGCAGCACGTGCCTCAATTCTCCTTAACACAAACCCAGCGAACATTACACACTTATATAATTGTTGCAATATGGGGTTTCCATAAATGGGGGATCCCCAAAAGGGTTCGTGTATCATGGAAAGTCCCAAAATAAAATGGATGATGACTGGAAGTACCCCCATGACTTAGGAAACCTCCATGTCCATATTCTACTTCAGGATGATTATCATGAAGAATAGTATGAAGCCTTTGGTGACCTCCAAAAAAAGCTTCGAAATTTCTCAACGTATCGTCTTGGCACTACCCTCTGATAATTTGTTACATAGCTATTGAAAGTGGCCCATAGAAATAGTTGAATTTACCGTTCTTAAAGATGGTGATTTTCCATAGCAAAATGTTAGTTTATCATCATTTTGAATAGGTATACCCTCTGGTAAACTAACATAACTATGGAAAATCACCATTTGTTTATGGAAAAATCCACTATAAATGGTGATTTTCCATAGCTATTTTGACATAACCAGAGGGTATCAACTACAAATCACCCATTTTCCATCGCAGTTCCCGCAGATCTTGCACGCCAACGCCTCGCGACACGATGATGAGATGTTGTGGGGCGATGAGCAGGCGATCACCGACTCGTAGCGTGACATTACGGAGTGGCTGGAAAATCTCCTTGAAACAACGGGAAAATCAACAGGAAAATATACTTGGTGGCTCATCCCACGAATCGTAAGTGGGTTATAACATCAATTATAAGTGGATTAACCCTACTTATCCCATGTAAATCACTGGGGTTATAATCCACTTACTAAGTGGGATGAGCCACCAAGTAGGAAAAACCCATGGGAAATCCCCTGAAAATGGAGGTTTTACTGGGAAAGTCATAGAGTTCAATCGGGATCCAGCTAGCAATGTATGAAATCCACCAAAGTCAGCATCAGCTGTTGCTGCATAGCAGCGACGACAAAAAACCAGCCACAATCAGGGGACGTGGGACTGCCGAAGCCTATTCCAAGTTGCATACCCAGCCTGGTAAACATACAAAAAAACGATGGAAAATCACCATGTTCAATGGGTAAATCCACTATTTCAATGGCCATTTTCAATAGCTATTTTGACATAACCAGAGGGTAGCTTGAGAGAAACTACAGCTGCTCCACAGGAGTATGCGCTGGTCGAAGTTGGCCCGGGTCCAGATGACGTCAGCACTGCCCAGAGGATGGAAAGGATGTGGGACTTGGAACTTTCATCACGGAAATCTGCACCAAACATCGTCATACCGGTCATACCGGTCATACCTTGAGTGTATAGATTAATATGGGGGGTTCCATAAATGGGGATACCCCAAAATGGATGGTTTATAAGGGAAAATCCCATGAAAATGGATGATTTAGGGGTACCCCCATTTTAAGAAACCTCCATATGTTTTTGATTGATGGTACATTATTTTTTCAACAGTGGAGCCAGTAGTGTAGTTATTTCTGGTCATTCGTGCAGGTGTACAGATCTATAGCACTACCCAGAAGGACGTTTCTGGTGCTGAAAACTTCATGGTTGTAGTTATTTTCTTGCAGTTTGCATGGTTTACTTACCAACCATTACACTAATCAGCAATAATCTGGGTAAATTATAACGACCTCACTGCGACCTCACTGGAAATCATGGTTAGTAAGGGGAATCATCCCCAAATGGCCTTAATTCAAGTTAGTGAAATATTATAATTTACCCAGAACAATAATCACAAGTGACAAAAGCTCATAGCTGCCATGGCTTAAAACTCACATCCACCTTGTGGATGGTTGTTGAATCCTCCAAGTTGAATGAAAAAATTATCCCATTTGATGATTCTCCCGGCGAACTAAACCTCCATTGGGGAATTTCCCATATGTTTCTCATATTTTTATGATTGTCCCATATGTCCTGTTGTTTATAAGGCATTTCCCATGATTTTCCTATCTTTTCCCTTAAATTTTCACCATTTTCCAGCCGAATAAGATGTGGAGAGGTGCGGCTGCTCCTCCGGGCAGATGCGGCGTTGCAAGAACTGCGCACAAGAAGCGAGGGCTACAAGGCACTGGTTAAGGGGGATATGGATAGTATGGATCTGCATCAAAAATCTGATCAATATATGAAAAATTGAAAACTGCTTGGTGGTTTGGAACATGAATTCTATTTTTACATATATTGGGAATAATCATCCCAACTGACTTTCATATTTTTCAGAGAGGGTGAAATCACCAACCAGAAAATCATGATTCTTAATATGAGAGTATGGGAATATGATGGGTTTTACTGGTAATATCATGGGTGATCTAAAGGTGATATCAATAAATGTGAGTCGATGAAAAAAGGTCCATGTAGGCATTGTTGATATTTGTTAATTACAACGTAAGACCCCGCGAAAGTTACAACATATTATGAAAATAACCATTCTTAATAGGTAAATCATCATCAATCATCTATAAATCCAGTATTATTCTATAACCAGAGGGTATGGATGAAAATGTAATATGAAGGTGGACCCGGGAAATTGCTATGTTAGTTAATATGTTAATGGGGAAAATGTCTATCTTTCATGCGGGGATTTTATGGGATATATCACCAACAATTTTTCGGAGATAGAATGGGATGACCTGGATCAAAATTCTGATCAACAACTATTGCACCAGTGCATTAGATATTCAAAATGAGGATACCATTTAAAACTTTACCATGGTTTATATGATGTTATTGTATTTGTTGTGGTGAATTCTAATACTTGGTTAAATATGATGTGGCTTATATACTTAACTGGTTGGTGGTTTGGAACGTTTGTTATTTTTCCATATATTGGGAGTAGTAACCCCAACTGCCTTTCATATTTTTCAGAGGGGTTGAAACCACCAACCAGTAATGCTTCTGATAGTAAGTGGAAATGGTGTGTATTCTGATTATTGATGGTTGTATGTCAATATATATATATATGTGTGTGTGTGATAATAGTGTACAGTATTTACACAAAACATAACAAACATATTATGATATATGATGTGCCTATTTCATCAATAATCTTTCAACCACTGGGTGCTAAGTCATGGGGGATCCCCAGTCGTCACCATGGGTGTCAATATGTGCCTTGGTCAAAACCCCAAATAGCCATTTTGAGAGGGAAAATGCTGATAATCCATAGGAATTATGGGGATACAATATTTTCAGACAGACCCATATGAAAATACCGTAAAATACCTGTTCGTTTGGATGATATGTATCTGAGACAATCTTCCCACTCTAGATTTTGAATGATTTTGATATGGCATCACTTTAGGGTCTAAGGTGAAATTCTTTCGCTTACCCCAGTCTAAAATGATGGCCATATCAAAATCTATCAGAAATACCAAAGAATCTAAAAATGAAAAGGTCTAAATGCTATGAAATGATTCGAACACCAAATCTCTTGATATATGGCCATATTCCCTTTTTTATTGATCAAATCCCCATTAATCGCCATTAATTCCTATCAAACCCATAAAATTCGAATAAAAACTAAGTCAATCCCCGTTGAAATCCATTAAATCCCATTAAATACCCCACAACATTCCATAAAGTTACATATTTTGTTCATTTAGTCTCATTAGATTCCCATTAAATCACCATAGTTTCAGCTTTTTGACTCAGCTTCCGTGTCGGGTGTAGGCCGAAAATGCCACATCCTGTGCCCTGTGGAGTCCGGAGATGGGAAATCACATGGTGGAAGGTGTCCGAAGACCCAGTTGCTGCCATAGATGTCCTTTTCCCATTGGTTGGTTGATTAATAGAGGACATTACCCTCTGGTAAACTAACATTGCTATGGAAAATCACCATGCTATTGATGGGTAAATCAACTAGAAATAGCCATTTTCAATATCAAACGTTTGAAGAACCCGCTTTAACAACAGGTTTGATGATAGATGGTATACCAAACCGGCCCAAACCTATTTTTACCAAAATGACATGAAATTGGTTGCTGCGAATTTTGATGCCCAAGAAATGGAGGTGTCCTAAAATCATCATCCAGTCGTCATGATTGACCATGACTTAGAAAGTGAAAAATTGATGATGCCTCATGACTTAGAAACTTGAAAGCCATGGAATTTTGATGATCAATTTTGATCCACGTTGGAATCTTGAATTTCTTGGGCATCGGTTAAATTGCCATCTGAAAATTGAAAAATATTGATCATGTGTTTTACCAGCAATCAACAAATGGAGGGTTCCTAAAATCATCCAAGTCATCAAACCACTTGAGCAGTGAAACCCATGGTGACGACTGGGGATCCTCCATGACTTTTGTGAAACCCCACCATGACTGGGATTTAAAATGATGATCAAGATTGGAATATCATCGGGAGATGTTATAGGATGTAGAATTGTTATATGTTATCACAATTGAGTGTTAAACATAATATAGAAATGTTACCCATATGTTATCTCCCTTGAAGTTGTTACCCCCAAATTAACATAGACCGCCTGCCATGAGTCGGGATTTGTTGAAGGCTCATCTGGACGAAAAATTTCTGGCTTATTGAACCAGGGTCTAAGTGATGATCAATACTGGAATATCATGGGGATATTTTATGGGATATATATATATATAACCAACAATATCTAACAACATGATACGGGGTAATTAGTTCAAGAATGGTGGAGATACCCGCGATTCGCAAAATTTTTGTGGCCTCGTCGATAAGGAAAAAATGATGAAAATTACTTTACTTCGTGTGATCCCCACCATGACATTTATACATTTTCTTACTGGCAAATCTTCTGGCATTCTATCTGACATATCTTCTGACATTCTATTTGGCATTCTATCTGGCATATCTTCTGGCATATGATCTGGCATATCTTCTGGCATATTCTTCTGGCATTCTATCTGGCAAATCTTCTGGCATTCTATCTGGCATATCTTCTGGCACTCTATCTGACATATTCTATCTGGCATTCTATCTGGCATATCTTCTGGCATATATTCTGACATATCTTCTGGCATTCTATCTGACATATCTTCTGGCATATATTCTGACATATCTTCTGGCATATCTTCTGGCATATCTTCTGGCATATCTATCTGGCATATCTTCTGGCATATTTTCTGGCATTCTATCTGGCAAATCTTCTGGCATTCTATCTGGCATTCTATCTGGCATATCTTCTGGCATATTATCTGGCATTCTATCTGGCACTTGGCATTCTATCTGGCATATCTTCTGGCATATCTTCTGACATTCTTTCTGACATTCTTTCTAAATTTCTTCTGCACATTCTTTGTCCCATATCTTCCTACATGAGGTCCGGCAGGGAACACTTGGCGTGGATACTCGCGGTTGAGGTCCGGCAGGGAACACTGGGCGTGGATGGTCGTGGTTGAGGTCCGGCAGGGAACACTGGGCGTGGATGGTCGTGGTTGAGGTCCGGCAGGGAACACACTGAGGTCCGGCGGGGATGGTCGTGGTTGAGGTCCGGCAGAGAACACTGTGGATCGCGGGTCGCAGTTGGACGAGGACGACGAGGACGACGAGGACGACAAGGAGGACGAGGAGGAGGCAGGAGGCATGACGAGGCAGGAGGCGGCAGGAGGAGGAGGAGGCAACTGACATAAAATCTAACAACCCTCACCTGGCAGGTGGGGAACAACTTTTTATTTGGGGTTACCCCGAATTTTTCAGACACCCATAGTTTTTTGATAATGGGACTTCCAACAATGATATCAGGAAAATGGTGTTTGATACTTATCATCATCCCAAATTAATAGTGATGATTGAGAAAACAAGAACAATGCCATTGTCTTCACTATCATCATCATCATCATCATCATCATCATCCTCAACAAAAACAGAAAAACAACAACATCATAATCACCATGATGAATAGTTCAGACCTGGCATTCCGGACCCAGCAGTTTGGGATTTTCGGACAGGCGGACCTAGAGGGTATTGGCATGTCAAGCGGCTCTGCAGCTTGATCGAAAGGTTCACCCAAATGGCAGAAATCACGAGTGAAATGTCTAGTATTTCGGACTTTTTTGCAGGGTTTGGACATCCATGTTCCATCCTTCGTCCGTATTTCCGGCCTTTCGTTCTGCCACACTTTGGCACCGACAAACGTCTGGCACTGGGCACCAGCTGAGGTCACTAAGCCTCCCTACAAGTCTTCACTGGATGAACTTGCCTCGGTGGAGGTCTGCGACGGCGTCAACAAAGATCCTGCCATTTTTAATTATGTATCGATATGTGGAAAATTGATGAAAATTGGCCGTTCCCAAAAGATAGGAAGATTTCTCAGTCCCCAAAAGGACCCAAAGTTTGAATGCTCTCTTCCGTTTGAGTGCTGAAGTGCTGTGAGTATCATGCAGATGTCTTCACCGTCATGAAGCCTGTCTGTGAGTGGTGATGACTCGTGTTAGTATGCTAGCTACTTGACATCATTCAACACTCGTTGGGGGAAACCACCTTGCAAGTTCGTAAGGCAAATTAATGATAGAGGAGGGATGTTCCATTGCGAATGTTGGCTCACCAGGTTTCACATGAACTACCTGTTTGTAATTCCTGCTCATAGCTGGAAGGCTAAATGTTCGGAAATTGCGGGCCCATCCCTAGTTTTCCCACTTATATGTGTCTAAAACCGGTTGACTGCGTTGCTTGGCTATGCTATGCCACCAGCACTATCACGATTTAGGCCCCTAGGCCCCGAATAGCCTTCACTTCCTAATGTGACCTCATTGGGAGGTACGCAAGAAGATCTAATGCTTAGATGTTTACATCAGCGCTGCATTTGGACCAGCTACAGATGATCGTAGAAATCCTTCCTGTTGGTATCCTGAGTGAGATTTCCATCGGCAATATCTCGATTCTTGTCGGTATTCATGATGAGCTACACTGCGATATTGTTGGTTGGAAGCCCATTGTGGGAACTCAAAGATGGCTAGAAAATTCCCCCATGAGTTTCGATGATTTTTAGCTGAAACTTGGCCATTTATAGATGATGTTCCCATTCATAAAACCTCCATTCATGTTTGATTGAGCCGCGCCAGGAGTCACTGGCCTTCCGACGAAAAGAGTTGTTGGAGGTAGCCCCTAGAGTAAACAGTGTGCGAACTGGGAAATCACCATGTTCAATGGGTAAATCATGAAAAATCATCAATAGGATTTTCCATATGCCATGGTAAAACCATAGCTTTGGCAACTTAAGTGACTAAGAATGGTTGGTTTTACCATGTTTTCTCCATGTTCCTTAGAAACTTGCGGGATGCTCGTCCCAGGTGGCAGCTTCCTTGGGAACAGAGAGGCATCCCAGATGCGGTCCCATGTCGGTCCATGTTTTTTTTTGGAAAGATGGGGCAGCCCTAATTTTTTTCGGATGTTTTTATGTTTCGAAATTATTGGATAATGTTGGGTTTTGTCGTCATATCTGGACAAAGCACAAAAAAAAAGGACATGCTTCCGAAACTAGCTTCAAAGATGGTTTGATTGCATCAGTTCCAACCATCAGATCAGAGACCCCCAACCGAACATCGAGGGAGTTCCCATTTCTCCGGCCAACCGCGCTGTTGTTGCTCAGTACACCCGTGTTTCAGGTTGGTTTACCGCCTCTGTTCTTGGAAACTTGTTTGGTTTGCTGAATCGCAAATTTGGGCTTTGTTCAAAGCCGTCTTTCCAAGAGCCGCTTGAAGGGATCTTGTTTAAAGACACCCGAAAACATTTGGGCGTTTTATTCAGCGATCCATCCTGTGATGTTTCGATGCTGCAGAAGAGCCAGCAGGAACTGGCAGGGTTTGGTATGGACCTTTGCCAACTTCCCTCTCTTGGGCACTGCTGATGGACAGGCGACCTTGGGCTGATCGGACGGCCTGGATTTCTGGGAACCCCAATGAACATAACGAGATGCAATCTATATGTGGATCTATCGGGGGAGAAACTGAATCTTTAGATATATAGTGAATACCTCATGAATATTATATTTAAATCATCTATTTAAATCTATTTAAATCATATGAAAATCCCAAAAAGCTTTGGGATGCGGGGTACCTGAACGAGTACGAGGAGTCGCAATCAGCACCAATGGTAGGTTAACCCTAATGATCTAAAACCAGAAAAATTGGCTTTCTGGACATGGATTTAACCATCATTTATATAGGAAAACCATCGTTTCATAGGGAGAAAACCATGGATTTCACCATCATTGAAAAAGGTTTCAACCATCAAACAGATAGGAAAACCATCCGGAAAATCGTCCAAAAATCAATTGATCGCCTGGGAGTTTTCAGCAATTTTCACAGGAGGCTAGCAGAGCTTCGACCCATAGCTACATTCATAGAATTGGATGATGGGAAAATTTACAGGAAAGCCCTATATTTGATGGTAAAAACCATGGTTTCCGGTCAAGATTTTCCCAACAAAACCAATCCAATGATACATGGGAAATGCATATCCAGTTGGATATCCAGTTGGATATCCAGTTGGCTTCAACCCAGTGAAAAACCCGGCAAGATGAGTCATGCGATGAGCCGCACGAAAAAATTCGCATATGCCATGATTAAAGGATGGTTAATTACATCCTCGTTATATCCATTGTTGGTTTCATCCCATCCCATATGCATATCATCCCCACATGTTCCCTACTTATATGTATCCCAATTACATGGGTTCCCCATATTTATCCCATACATTCCCCGTCTATTGCCCGTGAATTATTGGTTATAATTATATATATATACATTCCATACATATTTTATATATATATATATACATAGATAGATAATACATATATATATATACTCATCACATGTACATGAGGGCCGTTCAAAAACCCGGTCAAATTGAATATGTCTAAGTTGAAGATGGCTTAAAGAAACCTCGCGTCAAGTATGTGAAAAAATGAGGGTCGCGCAAGAGCACGCAAGGGCGAGCGCAAGATCAAAGGTTACACCCTAATCATTAGTACTAAAATGAATACACCATGCAGGTTGTTGAATCTTTCTTGAATCTATTGCATCATTGATTTTGGTTATTCCCTTGTTTTTTCTGTTGTGCTCAGGGGCGACCTTTGTAGAACATGGCACTGCGATTAATTTGGCTCCAAAACTGGAGCGAGGTTCCAGGGGCACTGGGGAAACAGTGCTCGCCATGACTTGCCCAGAGGGGGCGCCAAAGTAGAACACAAATTCCAGCGACATGGCATTTCCTGAAAGCGGGTCGCCTTTTTCTTTGAGCAAGGCTTAGAGGGGATGAGTTCTTTAAAGGATGCTTGTAATATAAAATATAATAATCCGTGCTCTTTGTGCCCGATATCTTGTGACGCCCGTTTCTCCAGGTCGCACCTACGACAATTTCAGCCGGACAATCATAGGTCGAAAACAGTCTGAAACAACTCTGAAACATTTCTTTTGGCTAGTTTATGATGGGGGAGGCAATCCTGCATTGATTCGTTCACCCTTTTCCTTCTATGGATCCATCCTTCTTCGTAGTGGCTAGAGATACATTTTGTTACTGCTGCCGTGCTTGTGCATTGTGGCCTTCGCGCAGAGCAGTTGCGCGAGTGGTATCGGAACGGCTGCTATGGATGGACTCTGTCACGGCCTGTGCCCATCACACCCATCTCTGTTGTACGGCGACGAGGGCCGGTACCTTGTTTGGACAGAAAAGAACATTTTGTTTATGGAAAACAGCTGCGTAAGCGCAGAGCTCAAATCGTAGAATCGGCAGAAGCCCGTGCGAATCAGCACCGTCAGAAGCATTCGTGTCTGAGTTTCTTGCTTCCAATCTGCTTTGCATTTGGCCAAGCTGTTGATCATGTTGCAGGTAAGCTGGGTCATTTTGAAGCCGGACATGAAAGAGAAGATCATGGCAATGGCATGAGTTCCCAAAAAGCGCGTGCCAACAAAGTCCAGCCATCTTCAATGTGAGCAAGTGCCGGTGGAAGCGTTGTAGCCCGTGAAAAACCACAGGCCGCCTTGCAGCTGGTGGAGAGTGAGCCTCATGAGTCAGAGCCCAGTTCGGCCATTGTACTTGATGAGGATACGGTTTCATGTTTCAAAGATCTCTCATTTCAAGAAGGAACTTGCCGATTACCAGTTTTTCTAGCTCATCCAGCTCCTCCAGCGTTTCTGAAGGTGATGACTGAGAAAATTGCGAAGACAGCAATTTCAAAGGATCAGCACCGCTGAGGATCAACACCGCTGCAGACCAGAGCTCCACCAGATTTCTCCAGCCAGCATCCAGTGCTTCTGAACAGAGATGGCAAGGATCAAAACTGCTACAGACAACGTCTCCACCAGCTAGTCCATTATCCACAAAACTTGCTGACTTTGAGGACCCAACCTTTGTATCACTAGTGGATGACTGTTGTTTGTTCTTTATATTCTCCATTGTTAAGTATGAAATATGCTTACAACCCCAGCCGCGCAAGACCGCGCAAGGGCGAAGCGCAAGGCCGTTAATCACATGAGAATCTAACCTGGATTTCGAACAACCTCCATATATAATATATATATATGTAATGTCCTGTCATGTAATGTAATGCAATTCAATGCAATGCAACGGTATGTATTGGTATGTAACGGTATGTAGTGGTATGTAGCGGTATGTAATCGTATGTAATGCTATGTAATGGTATGTAGCGGTATGTAACGCTATGTAATCGTATGTATGGATGCATGCATGCATGTATGTATGTGTACATCATAAATAGAGTTTTATATATATATACATATATATATACATATATATATATACATACATATATCATCCTGTATATTTACCACATAATATGAGATATTTCTTCTTATTACCCATTCATATTCCCCAGATATTCACCAAGTCGACATGCGCCAGGCACCCGCTGAGCCTCCGTTCCCCAAACGCTCGGATGGCCTGGGGTCCCGCTCCCGCTTTGTGCCCGATGAGGCGTTGGGAAGCGGCCTGGTGGTACACCCAGAATGAGATGATTAGTGACCAAATGATCGTGGGATTATTAATAGTAGTAATGTTATTAATAGTAATTATATAGTAATATAGTAGTAGTAGTAGTAGTAGTAGTAGTAGTGGTAGTGGTAGTAGTAGTAGTAGAAGTAGTAGCAGTAGTAGTAGTAATTAGTAGTATCAATAGTAGTGTTAATATTACATAGTAGTATTAGCACTAATAACCCCTAGTATAGAAGTAATTAATATTAATATCAATAATAGTAATACTATTACTAGCAAGTAATAGTATAGCTATGACTAATAGCGGGAAACTAATACTAGTAACTGAGTACTATTACTAATAGTTATTAGCATGTTTATTTCTGTTTCATTACTATTACTTATTGTTCTTTGTTGTTATTTATTTCTTTTTATTGTTGTTTATTGTATATATATTATTACTCTTGTTATTACTACTACTATTTTTTACTAATATTACTTCTACTACTATTTTTACTACTATTTCTAGTATTATTATTTTAAATATTATGACTATTATTACTATTATTACTATTATTGCAATTATTGCTACTGTTACAGTTTTTACTCTTATGATATCATGACTAGTGGTGAAATGATGGTGGTGATGATGATGATTCATGATGGATGATGGATGATGGATGATGGATGACGATGATGATGATGATGTTGATGATAACGATGATGATGGTGATGATGATGGTGATGGTGATGGTGGCGATGATGGTAATGATGGTAATGATAATGATCTTCATCACTTGTTTAACTGTTTCTTTATACTTATCACCTCACCAAAATTCGCATCCATGATCACCTGTGAAGGTGATCACGCCCCACCCCCGCTTCCAAGCCTTCGTGGCCAACATCCGACATCGCAAGGGTGCCAAGGCCATGGGGAAAGAGCCTACTGAACCGCTGTTCTTTGATTTTGATGGTGGTTGAATTGGTTTTTTTAGTTGGATTTATGATGATTGATGAGGATGAACCAAAAACACAGGTGATAGATATATAGATGGTGATAGTAATGGGAAATTCGTTTTGGTTATTTAACATAGTTATCGCATAGATGGCCCAGATAATTTACCTATCAAAATTGGTGTTTCCATAATTTCCATAGCAAATTTTTAAATTACCATAGGGTAAATAGGAGAGTTCGCCATCAAAAATTATGATTTGATGGTGATTAAATTGGGTTTAACCAGCCCAAATGGGGAAATGGTCAAGAGAAATTGTGATTTAAGTGGGTTTAACATGCCAAAATAAGGCGTTAACCAAGAAACATTGTGATTCAATGGAAATATCATGGTAATTTAAGGGTCATGTAACTGGGCAAATTCTGGATATACCCAGAAATAGGCATTTTAATGTGTAGGATGATGATAATCCATTGGGTTTTATGGGCACCTTGTAATTTTTACGCAAACCCAATGGGAAACACCCTTTCTGGTTGCTGTGCGAAAGAGCGATGTAACCAGCCAAAATGGGGAGTTGTTTTCAAGGAAACAGACGGAAGGTAGCGGCCTCCGCTACAAAATGTAGACAATTCCCAGAAAACTCATACCGTGTCCTGAGAGTCATCCATTCCACTTTGCCTGGGTGCAACGGACTGTTCATTGAAAAATCCACAGGACTACAAACCAGAGCCAGAGGTTTTCCTATAATCAGCAAGCACAGGGGACGCACGTACGTACAACTCCCCAATCCCCAAAAATTAGAATGACCAAGGAAAAATTCAGGTACTGTAATGTTAGTAAAGCACTAAACCATCCCCATAATTTACCCATCTTGGGCGGGATTGAAACCATCACGATCAATCCATATGGATGGTGACATTGCTCTAATAACATTACTTACATCAATTGCTAACCATGATCCACCAGTATTTAGAACCATTATCATTCGAGCAATGGAGCTGATTACTGGGTATCACCATGCATCACCCCATTGATTTGGAGCTGGATGGACCATGATCAACCAGCATTATCCATGACTAACCCCCCAGCTTCTACCTTGCAGACCTGCGCGCTGCTCCCCTTGGCAGCGGATGCCTCGGGATCCTTTGCGCCCAAAGCTGCTGAGGCGAAGTCATGTTGGGTTTTTATGATGGTTTAGTGGTTGAGAGATGTTGTAGTAAGTAGTGGTTCATGGGTGTTTCTTGTGCTTTCATGGTGGTTTAAAAGTTGTTTATAGTGGTTTAATAGTGGTTACTAGTGGTGATAATAGTGGTTAATAATGGTACGTGTCACATGTAGCAATCTGGAAAATCCCCGAACTAGCCATGGAGGTTTAGTTCGCTGGGAAAACCATCTACAAATGGTGGCTGTTCTATTGCCACATTGGATTGCTGGAGAGTATAGCCAATCATAGTGGTTCTTGACAGGGACAAAACCCTCAACGTGGTGATTTTTGGTGGCTGTCAATGGGTCATAAATCTAATCTTGATGGTCCCGTAGTCCCATAAGCTGGTGAAATTTGCTCCAAAGATTCCATTACTGGTTGGTGGTTGAACCCTACCCCTCTGAAAAATGATGGAGTTCGTCAGTTTGGGATGATGAAATTCCCAATATATGGAAAGTCATCAAATTCCATATATTATCCATGTATTTCCATATATTAATCATAATTTTATGATTAACCAATATTAACAATGTTCCAAACCACCAACAAGATGTTTATGGCCTTCATGGGGTTTCTGGCTTCCCATTTCTGGCGCCCAGGTACCATCCCAGAGTCCTTGGGACTTGGAGGACACGCACGTTTGCTGCGCGTCCATGGAAAGTGCCCAAAGATCATCTGGTTGGTCGTTTGGAACATGAATTTAATATTTGTTAATCATAAATATATGATTAATATATGGAAATACATGGATAATATATGGAATTGTATGACTTTCCATATATTGGGAATTTCATCATCCCAACTGACTTTCACTCCATCATTTTTCAGAGGGGTAGGTATACCACCAACCAGTTACGCATGATTCATACGGGATTTTCTTGTGACAACCGGCCCATGAAGCCCTAACTGGGGGAAGCATTTTTCCAAATTTTCACGGCTCTGGACCTTTCTGGCCCAACTTTGGTGACACCACACGCGTGATCAAAAAAGGAACTTTAAAATGACTGGGATAGTTCGGACATCATCCTTTGACACCTTCGCAGGTTAAACTCTGAGAAATTTGGGTACCCAATGAACCCAAATGACCCATCTTCAACTGGAGCATTTGCAACGCTTCGCGGCCACCTTGGACTGCCGAATTTTCGCTCGCTGACCGTGGAACAACCGCCATGCAGCTTGCTTTCCATCGGCTCCTTCCTGGGCTTCCGTGCAGGTGCCATGGGGTCGCGGCTGTTGTTGGAAAATTCTGGGGTGTTTCCATGAATGGTGGGTACCACTAAATGGATGGTTTATGATGGAAAATCCCAAAATAAAATGATGCAAATGGGTGATAGATGGGGTAGCCCTATTTTAGGAAACCGCCATGTAGAATGATTTTGGGGATGAGTTGATTCACGGGGCATCGCCCGGCTCAACATTTTTCAGCTGATGACCTCCATAGTACAGAAGAAAGCTGAAGCTAAAGCTGAAGGTAACTAAACATAACCAAACTACTGGTTGGTGGTTTGGAACCATGGATTTTTTGTTTGACATTCCATATATTGGGAATTTCATCAACCCAACTGACGAACTCCATCATTTTTCAGAGGGGTAGGGCTCAACCACCAACCAGACTAGCTAGAGTGTCTCTTGAGGCCGCCTTTTTTTTCGGCCTTTGTTGGTCAAAGCCAAGGGGTTCCTCCTATGCAGGTCACTGCCATGCCGCTGGCAGAGCGGTATGTCTCTGCGACAACTCTACGAACGCAGCTTTGGTAATGTGTTGGGAAGCATGGGAAGCATCAACCCCGGGGAGGTGAATCTCAACCCCCAAAACACAGAACTTGCGGATTGCGGATCTCAAAGATTCTTAATGTCAACTAATTAGGGGGGTACTCCCCAAATAGTCATTTCATCTGATACTTAAATGGTATCCCCCCAATGAAACAACCTAGGAGTTTATTAATCCAGGGTTGACATTACATTATGATCAGATATCATAAGAATATGATAAGATTCATGCAGCCAAGGTCGTTACCTGTTTGAATGTGGCACAAATCCCTAAATGAGGACGTAAATGACATGATCCAGCCACAGCCGATCAGCCTCCTCCCCGTGGATGGCGTGGGTGGTACGAATCCCATGCCCCGTGCAGTCGACACCAGCCACAAGCCATGATTTTGTGGATTCAATGGATTGGAAGGGAAAAAAATTATAGCCCTACCAGGATCCTAACGGTGCTGCTATATATGGTGCTCCATGGATCCCATCAATATACCCCCTTAATGTTAGCATATATACCAGCACCATGGATCCTATGGGTAGGAAAGCCTCATATTTCATGGGAAAATGGAGGGTTTCCGGTTAAGATTTTCCCAACATTTTCCCAATCCATTGAGGGATGGAATCACATAAAAAAACGCATCAATGTGGACCATACAGTGGCGGTGTTAAATATGGGTTAATACCGCGAAGCCCGGATCTCTGAACATAGCTCCTGATGATTGATTTGAGGGGGTACCCCCAAAAAAATTGATAAGGAACATTGCAGAACACTTAAAATTTGGTACCTCCTTATGAATAAACTAGGGGGTTGGTAATCCTAGTTTAACACTACAAAGATCCCCTATCAAGAACATCCAGCTCATGGGTTGTTAGTGGAGTGCCCCCCCTTTCAGGATAAAGGTTTGCAAATGGTGTACCACACGCAAAATATACGACTTAATATGATTTATATGCTTCTCATTTCAGAATATCATTGACCTGGGTTTGTATATATGTGTTCCCTGATCCAACGCTTGGTACCAGGTAGATCTACAAGTGAAGGCTATGTGCCAGACAAGTGCACCTTGGCTGCGGTATGGGCCATGCGGCTTTGGCTGCGGTGTTCTTTTGTCAAAATTGGACTAAACTGGATGGTTTTACCTATAATTTACTACCCTCTGGTAAATTCAACATAGCAATGACCATTCATAGTTGATTTACCTATTAAAATGTGCTATTTTCCATAGCAAACTGTTAGTTTACTAGAGGGATCTAGATGGGCAAAATGTGTGGGTTTGAATTTTTGCCATGACAGATGGTATGATGGTGCTGTTTGACTCCCATGTTTTGTCATCTACCTTCCCGCAATGGCCCCATCGATATGTTTCTGAAGTCCAGGTCAGTCGGAAGTGATCTCGAAGTTGGACGACTTATCCAAATCGCTCAGCGCTTCCCAGGTGCGGGTCATGTGCCGAATGGCCTGAGAAAACGGTTGCTGATCAGATACACAAGGACGGTTGCTGATCAGATACACAAGGTGAGGCCCCCCAAGTAATGTTGCTTTATAAAGCCATTGATAGTGATATCCCGGAATTCCCCCGTAAACGCTATCGGGCTCACCGTGTACCTGCCCCAAGCCATTCACACTGCAAGGATCAATCCAAATGACTCGCAGGTGCTATCCATTCGCATGTTGCATCATGTTGCATCACGTAGCTACTGGTTCAAGTCAGAGCCGATTGAAGTGATTGAACTTCGCGGTCATTCCCCGGATCTTCCATGATCATCATGATATTTTTAGGAATTATGTCTGATCATGGGAATGGTATGATTAAGCCATGGGAATGATCATCCATCTGATTAGGTTTTTGAGGATGAAATTTGGTATTTTGATGGCATTTCTGTCTGAGTCTCCGGATGAAAGTCATCCCATCTGATAAATTTGACATGGCAACAACCTTCACAGGCACCTCGTGGTTTGTACCTCTACGGGGGTGTTGGCACTGGGAAGTGCCTCGACGGAAGACAGGTGGAAGCTCAACCACTTGATAAAATGTCGGGCGTATACCAGGTGATCTGGGGCAAAACCACCCAAGATTGGGGAATTAATTTTGAGGCATAATCAATCACTCCTAAGTCTGTCCAGAATGATGTTAAGCTGCAAAAAGAGATTCCGCTTTACTAGTCGCCATTTGTGGAAATGCTGTCGTTTTCTCATGGTTGCATACCCAAAAGTGATCATGTTCAAAGGTCTGCCAGGCCTTGTACCTGCATATCCACACTAGTATGTCCCTCTTCAGAGGGCTTCCACATGGAACAGTTCATATGAACAGACGCAACCTGAATCATCTGAATCGGATCACCAACCACTCTCCAAAGAAAACAAAAACGCGAGAATTGAGGACGATGATGCTGGACCTCTTCCATGAGTCTCTGACTTCCAAGGGCATTAGCTGTGATCGACAACACTTCCATGGCTTTCTGAAAGCTGTAGACACCAGCAGCTCGGATCTCGCTGGGAATTCTTCAGACTTTGCCATGGAAAATCACCTTTTTTCATGGCTAAATCGTTGATAAGTGGACCATGTTCCATAGCTATGTTAGCTTACTGGAGGCTATCAACCACTGATTTCTATGATATGTTAGTTTAATGGACCATGTAACAGTCATTACTAGAGGCTTTGCCGAGACTGGCAAAGATCCCATGATCATTTCTTGGCATCAAATGGCCGTAGAAGGGGGTCTTTTCTCTCACATGCAGAACATTCAACTGCTTGGTGGTGATTGGAACATGAAGTTAATATTGGTTAATCATAAATATATGGTTAATATATGGAAATACATGGTTAATATATGGAATTTTATGACTTTACATTTTTGGGGGAAGAACAATCCAACTATCCAACTCATTTTTTATGACTTTCCATATATTGGGAATTTCATCATCCACTCCATCATTTTTCAGAGGGGTAGGGCTCAACCACCAAGCAGACTAAGTCTGACAGGGTGAGTTTTTTTTGATGGCTTCCCAATCAGTTACCCTCTGGTGAACTAACATAGCAATGGAAAATCACCATTTTTCATGGGAAAATCCACTATTTCTATGGCCATTTTCCATTGCTATGTTAGTTCACCAGAGGGTACAGAGATAGCCAATGATGTAGAAAGGTCGAACATGGACCCCAACAAAAAGCACAGGGACTTGATTGATGGTCATGTCCTTCACGGGAAAGCCGATTGAGAGTTCCATGCTGGATTTCAAGGGTGTACCTTCTGGTATTCGAGCATAGCACGACCAAAATCCAGATGTTTCACATGAGAAAAATAAATAAAAATAGTTTATCGATGTATGTCGCAACCAAAAAAATAGTAGAAAAGTGTAGAAAAGTTAGATCCTCTTAAAGCAATGGCCACTGACTCCTGTATCCTGTTTGGGGGTTACTATCGATGAACATAAAATGGATGATTTTGTAGTGCCATGGGACCGCTGGAGGGAAAAGGGGGATCCACTAAGGCTACCACAAGATGCGCATGGCGAAGCGAGGCCAGTCCAATCTGCTGGCACGCTGTGCCGAGGCCAGAACCAGCGGAATCCGAGGGGAATCGGGGATTTATTGGGATTGAGCCACCAATAATGGGTAGTTTCATGGCATTTAATGGAATTTAGCCATCAAAATCGCGATTGCTGCGGTTTTGCCAGGTTAAAACTGGTTTTATGTCCAATTTTTGAAATTTGCCCTGATTGGGTAGTTTTCCCAAACAGAAATGATCTCAAAGGACATCGCCAGATGAATCATGAAGGATCCATTTCATCAGAATAATCTAGGAACTATCCCGAAGGAAACAACCAGTTGTCAGCGGCCAAGGACCCCTGCCCCCAGCAACAAAAAAACAACGGCAGCATTTGTTGATCTCGGAATTAAGGGAAATGATTCAAAACCTGCACATGCCTGGCGTTTATGACTAAGATGAATCAAATGCTGAAGCAGGTCAGCTGTTCACCAACGGTTTGACCATCAATATATGATCAAACTCAGGAATCGATACTGCGGTTTCTCCCATTGATGAAACCCGATGATGGTGAATCATCAGTGTATCAGATTTCAATTTTCCATGCGATTTCAATAGCTTCCACTGGCCATAATCAGTGAAAGATGATCATATCCTATTGATGATACTCCTGCTGCGTCTTCAAGTTGTGTCCAGCTTTGTCAGTATATAATATCAATGCATGCTTTGCTCCAGTGACGACCATCTATGAAAATCATCGTTTCCCCTCTGGTACTTTCACATTTTTACATACTGGTAGCTATGAACTAAATGGGCCATGGCTTAGCTATAGCTGTAACAACTTAACAGAGGGCAATTCCCATTAATATCCCCATATTCTGTTGGTTTGAAATCCCATTAAATCACCAAAAAGTTCCATGAAATCTCCACAAAACTCCATGAAATCACCGCAAGAAATCCCATAGAATCATGAATCACCGTGCTTTTCGTGGGTTTTAACCATTTTTAACCCATGTTTTTTCTTTGACCCGAAGAACGCGGTCGTTTTTTTTTCGATGTCGCCATGCCAGGAATACGTCCAAAAGCATCGAGTCTTGGCCTTCGATGAGGCGCACGTTCTGAACATCGGAGATGCGCTGCTCATCAAGGCCGTTGCCATACAAAAAGGAATGTCTGGTAGGGTGAAAGATAGTGCTTTGATGGTGGTTAAATTGTGTTTAATAGTGGTTGATATTAGTGGTTTAATAGTGCTTTGGCGATGGTGTAGTATTGGTTTAATAGTGGTTAATAGTGGTTAATAGTGGTTGATGATGGTTTCAGAGTGTTTGCTAATGGTTTAGTAGTGGTTGATGATGGTTTAATAGTGGTGATAATAGTGGTTGATAATAGTGGTTAATAGTGGTTTAATAGTGCTTTGATGGTGGTTAAATTGTGGTTTAATAGTGGCTTAATAGTGGTTGATAATAGTGGTTTAATCGTGCGTTGGCGGTGGTTTAGTATTGGTTTAATAGTGGTTGAATATAGTGGTTGATAATATTAATTAATCACTATTAATAAAGTGGTTTGGCGGTGGATGTCACATGAAATCTATATTACATGATAATAGTGATTAATACATCACCACATTATTATATGTTGATTGATGATAGTGATTAATACTGGTACCCTCTGGTAAATTAACATAGACCCTGAAAATAGCTTAGTTTTAATGGTTTCACTCATCTTCCAACCCCGACAACTGCCAGGGTCGAGCTGTTAATTTACCAGAGGGTAAATGTCACATGAAATAGCCTCCAGTAATCAAATGTGGCGTGCGCCATGGAGCTTTAGTTCGCAGTTTCCAGCCACGTTTGATTGTAGGAGGATATAAGATATAATGCGTAGAACAAGGATGATATAATACGGAGATAATGGAGACAATGGATATATATATATATAATGGGTATATGTATACAAATATAATGGATATATAGTTGGTATGATTATTGTGGTAGCGTGGTCATAGCTATATCGCGATTATAATATTCCATCCAATTCAGGGGTTATCGAATCCAATATAGGTACATTATATGATTTTATATGATAGTCACAAGCGGGGAAAATGCTTATCATTTGGTAACTCATTTCGCACCTTTATCTGGGGTGTTGGGAGCAATCCTGTAACTACATGTTGTGTCTTTGTACCAAGGTGTACAGGTCTTATGTATTAGTTCATAGCCTAAAAATGGTCGATCTGCATTCGGACATTGGGACATTGGGATTGGACTGGGATGGGCCCTGCGGAGAGTTTCCCTCAGGCCTTCTTGGAACCCTACTTCAAAGCCGGCGGTGTGGTGGTGGCAACCTCAAACGTATCTCAGCGCCGAAAAGGGGGTTTCTCGGGTACCCCGTTTTCGTCGGGGAGAAGCATCCAACATCTGGTTGCATGGTTGAGACATGTTAACATGATCTGGTTGGTGGTTTGGAACCTTGTTTTTTTTTGACTTTCCATATATTGGGAATTGCATCATCCCAACTGACGAACTCATATTTTTCAGAGGGGTAGGTATACCACCAACCAGTGATTTGATGGCTAGTTGGGAAGTATAATTCCATATAATTCCTATGCTCAGACACATGAATGACAATGATATATTGAGAATTATTTTGGATGCTACTTTTTTGAACCCAAAAAATGAGAAAAAGCATCAGAAAATTTTGGTGCATTCTTGGCATCTACCAATCTCCCAGCCCTTTCAGGTCGCGCCAGATGATCTATATGCATCTGGTGTGAACCGCGAAACCTTCATGCCCTTCATCGACACCCTGCGGAGGCGCACTGTCACAGGATTCTGACTTGGTCTCCCAAATGAGATCTAAGATGTTTGCAGTACGATGATATATGTTTCCCAAAGATCTGAGATGTAAGAATATGTTGTTTATGCTAGCGGGAGGAAAACCGGACCCTATTTTTCCTTTTATTTTTTGATGCTCTTGCAAACCATGTTGATGGGGTGGGGTGGGGTGTATTAACGTTCATGTAGACTAAGCAGAAACAATTGCGTTGATGTCAGGCACTGACATACAGCAACATATTACGTGATGGATTTTGTGTTGGCATAGATGTAATGTGATACGTCATGGGACTTGGGGTGGGGTGGGGGGGTGTCTTAACGTTCATGTAGACTCTAAGCAGAAACGAATGCGTTTGTGGAAAAGATGTTACATGTTACGTTAAGTTGTTTGTGTTGACCGAGTAAAGATGTTACATGTGACGTCAATTTGTTTGTGTTGACCGAGTAAAGATGTTACATGTTACATCAAGGGATATGGCTGGAGTCAGGACAGATGCTACATGTTATGTTAAGTTGTTTGTGTTGACCGAGTAGAGATGGCACATGTTACGTTAAGTTGTTTGTGTTGACCGAGTAAGAGTAAAGATGTCACATGTTATGTCATGGGATATGGCTGGAGTTCGGACAGATGTTACATGTTACGTTAAGTTGTTTGTGTTGACCGAGTAAAGATGTTACACGTTAGATCATGGGATATGGCTGGAGTCAGGACAGATGTTACATGTTACGTTAATTTGTTTGTGTTGATCGAGTAAAGATGGCACATGTTACGTTAAGTTGTTTGTGTTGACCGAGTGAGGGTAAAGATGTTACATGTTACGTCATGGGCAATGGCTGGAGTTCGGACAGATGTTACATGTTACGTTAAGTTGTTTGTGTTGACCGAGTAAAGATGGTCTTGCAAAGGCCAAAGGCCAACCCGTTGCTGATGCAATATGCGCAGCAGTGGCAATGGCAGTGGGTCCAGAAGAAACACTTGTTTCAGGCTACTGGTCGACAGTTGCACAAAGAAGCCTTTGGATGAAAATGCTCCGAGAAAAAAACATTGGTGAGCAAAGCATGCATATATCAAAACAAAATGACCCAAAACGCAGGTTTTAGACACTTGGAGAAAGGAATTTGATCAAATTCCTTGCAGACATGAAGTTGCAATCCGCATGGCCCTGCCAATATGAAATACACATTCGGTTTAAGGTCCGAATAACCCCCCGGACGGTTGTTTATGGTGCGTTGTGAGTATACACATGCTTCCAGATACAACTTATGGTGGTTTATCCCAGTCCATACTTCAATTGTGAGGCACGTCTCAGGCTTCTCCCAAACTGGGGAAAGCTCAAGTTGGTTCTGTGGTTCGATGATTTTGGAAAACCAGCTGGGATGATGGTGACAGGTCGGATTTTGCTGAGTTTTGAATTCATGGCTGAACCACTCCAATAAATCATTGAATTCCTGGGAAATGATGCGACTCATGCCAGTGGTCAGGAGTTGTGAGTTCTACCAGATGAAAGGACGAGAAGACTATCGTCTGCGCACAAGCCAGAAAAGTCAGTGCTCTGGTTGCACACTGGGTGACTCTTGAGGAATGATTCAAAGTCGGGAGAGGCATCGGTTTTCATGGTATCAAATGTATCAAACATGTTCAAGTAGTTTGAAGCATTCATTGGTGCAGCTCTACATCATCAGCTGAAAACGATCTTTCTCAGATGTTTCAAGACCAGACAGGTTTCATGGCAGTTTTCCTCCTGGAAAACATATGTTGGATTTGGGCGCTACTGGCAATGGAATATGTTCTTTTGACCAGTGATCCTATGATGGGAAAGCTGTATCTGAATTTGTGCCCGGCTTTGGGCATCCCTAAAATCTATCATTTCACTGGCAGAAACCAGCATTTTAGCATCTTGGCTGCCCCTTGTCCTCAGAAATCATCTGTAACATTTGAGATGTCCCATCTAGGAAGATGCTTCGAAAGATGCCCTGGCTCCAGACATCTTGGATTCTCAGAGGATAACAGGCCCATTGGATACATCACCACATTTGTTTCAAGCCAGTTGGTACCTGAACTCAACACTTTCCAAGATTGACTCTGCATCAAATTTTCTGACCTTAAGCCCATTTGTTGTTTAGGACCTCAGTTGACGTTGATCCAAACTCGACCGAGTTCGCTTGAGGCTGCGTGGGACATACTATTGGGGTGACGCCAAGCCCAGTGGCGATGCTCGGCTCAGTCCGATGCTGTAGGTTCATTTAAAAAATGGAGGAAAACCATGGGAAAACCCTGGCAAAATCATGGACCAACAGATGAAGTGACAGGATTTTCGAATGATGAAGGGTCATTCCGAGCGTGCCAAGTTGATGGATGGAATGATGGATGATTTCATGTGGTGATAGGGATCATTCCGAACGTGTTTGAGCTTGGAACCAGCTCCAAACCTTGTGTCCTTGGACGTGGATTTCTGGAGGAAAATAGGTGTGGAGACTTAAATGTTCATGGAGCCAAGCAAAGATTGGCTAGTCAATGTCCACATGTGATCACCCTGCAATTTGAGAAACTGGGGACGTTTGAAAACGTACACGCTGGGATTCAAACTCAGACGGGGTTTGCTAAAAAATTAAATTCCTTGTTCCTCAAATATCCTAATTTTATAAATTTGGATCCAAGTCGGGAAACGCAGCAGGCGATCGCCATGGTTCTTATTCTGGTCGCGGATTTTGGGCGAGTGATACCCCCAAAAGATTAATGAGATTTGCACTGATTGGTGGTTTGGAACATGAATTTTCTTTTTCCATATATTGGGGAATTTCATACTCCCGACTGACTTTCATATTTTTCAGAGGGGTAGGGCTCAACCACCAACCAGGATATGTATGCGTTATGTGTATATATATATACTGTATATGGTTTAAATCTACTATATCTATATTAACCCTAAACCACCAACCAGAAGATGATTTTCCCATCCCCATCGGATGTCGGCCGCCTTGCTTAGGACGTGACCCCCTCAGATTTTCCTTCGCTGATGGAGCTCTTTGGCGTACTCCACCTGGTGAGACTGCGAAGCTAAGGGGATGAAGAGAATTCTGGGTACTCCTATGGCAGCAATGGGGACTGGTTGGTGGTTTGGAACATTTTTTTATTTTCCATGTCACATATGGGATGTCATCCTTCCCATTGACGAACTCATATTTTTCAAGATGGTTGAAACCACCAACCAGGGGAAAATGGCAGTTTTTTCCAATGAATTGGGTTACCAAGGGAAAATGTGCAAAACTAGCAGTCGGCGGACTGGTTGAAGTGGAGAGCCATTGATGATGAAGATTTCAGCGGGCAAGCCTCTAAGCAGATGAAGTAGAACTTCAAATTATGGTCCATGAAAATCAAAAACAAAACGCGTAACTTTCACTCCATTGCAGTCTCGTGCCAAACCGCTGCAGTTTCATTTCGCTCGGTATCGGGAAACGGAGGGCGGGCGGGAAAACTGAGCGCTTATTCACACCAGAATCGCAAAAGGCTGGGCCAATGTGGCAAAGGCGCCGTCTTCATATTATCGTTTTCTTTCGATCGGGGAATGAGATCCCTAGTAACGGAACCGCTGTCGCCACATGTATCTCTTTCACAACATACAATTTACACGGAAAAATCAAGAAATGCATCCACCAATCCACCAACAAACCTTAGCCTGCAAATGACATCAGCCAACATGCTCACCCACTAACATGCTCACCCACTGGATCTGCGAATGTTCCGTATTTCTGTTTCCCTGGTCTTTAAGAGCGACCCTTCCTTGGCGTCCCTGGTAAAGCCCTGGATTTTTTCAACTGTTGGATGGTTTCAACTTTGACCGCCCCTCCTGGGAAGCGTTTGATGATTTTGGTCATAGGGGCCCAAGCAGCAGATTTCACCACATCACTTGGATGTGTCTGAAATAGGCGTTAGCTTCAACATTCGCCATTTTTTCATGGGGAAAATGATGATCAGTTGGGTTTTTGGAGATCCTTTCCCCTAAATTGACCAATCGCTATTTCTGAGGTGTTTCCCCCAAATTTCGGACAGTTTTCCCACTAGGTTTTAGAGGTGCTCCTCCAAATTTTGGAGGTTTTCCCCTACATTTTGGAGGTCTTCCCTTAAATTTGGCAGGTGTTCCCTTAAATTTTGGAGGTTTTCCCCTAAATTGATGATGGACTTTTGACCCATCCAAATATGTCTCCAAGACTCGCATCGAGGACCATGGAATGCCATGATCTTCCAAAAGCCGAAGCTATGGAGATTGATGCAACTGGGGATGTCAATTCAGCAAGAACCAATGGGGATGTGTGTATATATACTATGGGGGTACGCCCATGCGTCACCGCAAAACTGCCTGTTTTGAGGCCCTGGTTTTGGAACTTCATTTTGCTCAATCTTGCGGCCGCTTCTTGCTACTTTATTGCCTCCTTGGTTGGCGGACTTCGCTGCAACGCCTCAAGGTTGCTACGCATGTGTTGGTCAAGTCGTGGTTTGCCGCGCCGCTTCCTTGCACCTTTCAATGCTTCGTCAGACAAGTGAAAAACGCCGATAGAAAACATTTTGTGTTGGCTCCCAATCCAGCAGTTTTACTTGGTTTCTGTGCGCCTTCTAGTGTAGTTTCGGTTGCAAGCGGTTGGTGGGTGGGTGACTTTTCCCTGGTTCTTGGGTTTTAGATGTGAGTGTGCAGGTTTCGTCGAGGCGTAGCAACTGAAACGGGTTTAAATGCGTGGCTTACCGTCCTTCCTTGACACAATTTTAGGCCGTTTGTGATGTTTCTAGATGATTTAGAGATTTTTTTTTTTCCAAGCTGCTGACTTTACATTTGCATGGAAATATTTTGGATGTATTTTCTGGCAAATTTCATTTTGTGTTTGTGTTCTGCTTCTGTAAGTTCGTGAATTTGACGGAAGCTTGTGTCAGTTTTTGTCGAAAGAACCAACTTTGCGACATGTTTGAGAATTGGATCAGACCCCGGAATGGCATGGGCCATGCCCATC